AAAGATGTAATAAACAATAGCTACAACTTGACTGTGTTTGATGTTCTTGACTTATATCTGTTCTTCACAGGTTCCAGTTACAGTGCATGACTTATTTTCCCTGCTGCCTTGTCTTTTGCTCATAAATCACAAATGGTGAGGCAGGGCTGGGCAGTTATATTGATGATATATCTATTGTGATATTAAAACTAAAAATTGTCTCAGATTTTGTATATCACAATATTGAAAGTGATTTCTTCATTTTAAATGCTGCATTACAGTGAAAGTGTTTCTCTGAGCTTTTCTAATTGCATAGTGGCAAATTGAGCACATAAGCCTACATGGAGATGTGTTTCGAGACCTCGGTCCATGCTAGTCCATACGGTCCACTCCTAAGGGCCACTGAACACCTCCTTGCACTAAAAAGTAGTACCTTAAGTAGCTTCAGTGAGGAGGGGCTGAGATTCAGAGCCACTGACTGTATCCCAAGAATGCAAAACATAGGTTCGAGAGTTGTTTTGTTCTTAAAAATAATATCAATTTCTTTACACACTTTGACCCAGAAGTCATCATTAAGGGGGCAGTCATAAATACCATGGAAATACGAGCCTTCAGAAGTTTTACACTTATTGCAGTGTTTTGAAAGCAAAGGTTAAACTTCTTGCCTTTCAGTGGGGTAATATGGAACCTGTATGTATCATTTTTCTGAACTTAACAGACCTTGTCTTTACCCACTTTGTTAATACATACACATTACTGGTGATTATTTCTCAAAAATCTCATTGAGTAAACGTGGTGAAAGCATGAATAGTCAACCCTACAATATCAGTATAGCCTGGCCCTGATGGATGGAAAAAAAGTGCTTCCTCATTTGTATGAAGAAGTGTCGGAGCTTCACGGTTAGGCAATCCAGGCACTCCAAGAATAAAGAAAAATGGAAATATCAAAGGAAGGAAATATTAAAAAGCCTTTATTGTGGCTAAATCGTTAGAAGAGCCAATATGTTTCGACCAATGCAGGTCTTCATCAGGGCTTTTTAAAACAGAACAGAGGTAAGGCCACACCTAGTGGCAGGAACCAATCAGAGGCCATCACATGAAACAAATAGACAATAATGAACAAATAACAAGTTGACAAAATACAGTGACATGAGATAAGATACCCAGAAAAAATAAATGTCTAAGCTTGAAGAGGATAATGACAAATCACAAAAAATGCGAAGTCTATATATCCTTATTGAGACCAGGATACTTCAAAGCACCCAGTTGATGGATCCACAAAGCTTCCCTTTGATTGAGTTTCTGTATTCTGTCCCCTCCACCCACAACGTAAGTATTTTTCACATAATCTTAAACTTACATTGATATTTGAAACCCAGTTTTAGCTTTAGATATTAATGTACAGTATAATCTCAGCCTATAATTGTAATATTATACACACTTTAAAATAGAAACACATTTACATTAGTTATTTTGGACGTTTTGGATAGGTTGCAGGCCCTTGTGTTACCCCTGGACATTTTGGTCCATTTCCAAAATTCAAAACTCCCTCAGACAAATGAAAGGTCACAGGGGGTGATTTTTTGCATGGGGGTGTCATTCTGGGTGAAATTTCAAAATCTCAACTTTCAGCACGAAAATCCATTATTTGACCCTGTAATGCATTTTTATCCCATCCATGACCCTTCAAGTGGACAACAATGTCCATTTTCTAGAAAGTGTCCAACAAAAGGTCACAGGGGGATGATTTTTGTCAAGGGGGGTAATTTTGGGTTAAATTTAAAAATCCCAACTTTCAGCAAGAAAATCCATTATTTGACCCTGTAATGCATTTTTATCCTATCCATGATAAATGGATGGTATAGCAACAATAACAAATGGCTAAATGACAGGTGGACATTTTTGTTCATTTGAAGGGTCATGGATAGGATAAAAATGCATTACAGGGTCAAAAGCAAGACTGCCATGTGTGTCTATGGATCACAAATTGACTATATGTTAAGACAAAATCAGTAATTGCAATATGTCAGTCAACTGTGGGAACCTGTGATGGCCAATTTTAAAAATCTTATGATATTTAACACATAATCAAGAAAACAGTAGATTGATAAAGGAAATAGCAGTCCTTAATAGCTTTACTTTCCATCTGCATAGGAGAAATAAAAATGATTCCCACTGTCCACAGTATATTTTTGATTAAACTGAATCAGCATATAAGTGTTTTTTATTTTTGAGGCTTTTGAGTATTTTGAAATGCCCCTATTATAAGATGTGTTTTGCAATTAGTAATTGACCCAGTGTGAACCCACAGCAGTCAGGAAGTCAGAGTCTTCTTTTCGAGGACACGCAGGATCTGATCTGATCCTCCAGCTCTCTCACAGGAACACTGGTGTCAGTTTACACATGTCAGCTCTCTCCGGTGTGATTACAGCCCAGCACTGCTTGTTCTCTACAGGTGGATGAAAAATGAAAGTGGAGGAGCAATTCATTTTCTCCCTGCAGTATTGGGCCAGATGTTGTTTTTGATTTTAGAGTATTTTCTTCTCGTGCTTCCTTGTTTTGTGACAAAGACATTATAAAGTCAGGTTTATAGGATGTAAAAAAGGGAGGTGTGTGGAGGACCCACCTGGGAGGGTTTGTTTGTGTTTTTATCCCCAGATAAGCAGGAGCCAACCTCTCTTTGTTCTGTGTGTGCTTGCGTGACATAATCCCTATAAGGTGCATCAACAATGACATTTTTATGTTTTATTTTGATTAGGAAAAATTGCAACAACATATGAGATCTAAACAAGGAATTCACTGCCAACAAACTCCTGTTATGTTCCTTTGGAGCAGGGGTGTCAAACATAAGGCCGAGGGCCAGAACCGGCCCGCCTAAGGGTCCGATCCAGCCCACTAAGTGACTTTGCACACCTAATGTTGATGCACATGTGAAGGCTGAGAGGCTTCAGGAGCAATTTTAACAGTGAGTAAATACTTCATGTAAAATGCAGCCTCAGAGGCTTCTCCACCCTGACCAGCATGCAGCTCTCTGAAATAACAATAAATACTTTCTGTGGTCAGATTTTAAGATATTGAACAATGTGCAAGAAATTGTCAAACAGCAGCTTGAGTACAAACAAATCTGTATCTGACTTCTATCTTGAAACAACATGGGTGGTACCCTGCTGCTGAGGCACTGACAAAACCTCAGATTGTAAATTGTTTGTACAGGAGGGGATGAATTAACCTGCTTCTTCAATAGCTTCCATATTATTGGGAAATTATGAAAAAGAAATCACATGTAAGAAAGTGAGTAGCAGACTGAATTTGCACATAATTTTTCTTAGGATATAGCACTCTGTTCATAATTTGTTTCGTAAATGGATGAGAGTTTTCAGAATGTACTTCTTATAAAGCATGCTTTAAAGCTCAAAAACAATCAATGCCAGAATGAAATTATTGCAGTACAAACGGTTGATGAGAACTTACGTTACCCTGGCCAGGCTGAACCGTTGGTCCCTTGACATCCCAGACATTGTATTAAATGCTCAGAGGGAAAGGGGACTCTGTTCCATTGTGTATGGGAGATGATGTGTGTCTAAAATTGCAAGAATACTGATAAACAGTTGTCGAGACTATATCTTGGATTGCTGGAATGAATGTACCTCACCAACCAAAATGGTGTGCACTCTATATATCCAAAGACCGTTGTTGCTAGTTCACAACGGATACCTTTAATTGACTTTGGACTCCTGCAGGCCAGGAGAATGATAGCTCTTTCTTAGAGGAAAATGGATACACCTTCGAGATGTGGGTGAGGGAGATGGCATTTGAAAGACTGACTTATATAACCAGAGGAAGGGCAGGAGAATTTAATGTGGAAACCATTATTGGTCATCGGGGTACACAATCACAATGAAATAGCTGTGTGTAGAGTGTATTTATGTTGCTATTGACTTTCAATTTGTCTTGTTTTTTTTAGTCTGATATGTTTATTGTTTTATTTTTGCTTGTTTGTTTGTTATTTCTTCATTCATTTCTCTTTCTTTAAATGTGTTAGTTATTGTAGATGTTTACTTTCTTGTTTGTATGTGTGAAATATGTGAAAAGGGGGTTGTTATTTTAAGGTTAAAGGCCAACTTGAGATCAAATTGGGCTGTATGTGGCCCCTGAAGTAAAATTAGTTTGACACCCCTGCTTTAAAGTTTATTTGTGAGCTAGTTGTTTTGTAATTATTTAATTGCCCTACTTATTATTATATTATATTATTATATTAGTACTAATATATTACTAATGGCTTAATAACTTGACTCAGTGTAGTCCCTTTGTTCATGTTCAATGTCTAAAACAGAAGCACTTGTATTCAAAACCTTTCTACTCATAGGGATGTATTGTTAGGCTAGTACACATGTTGTGACATGAAGCACTACGCCCTAAATATTTCACGTTGTTTACATGTATTGTTAGCTAATAAATAATTAATAACTAACCACAACCTGCGAACCTATCATTGAAGTTTTTTTGTTTTTTTTTTAAAAGAAGTCTAACAGTACAATATAAGGCTGTATATGACGTTATCCTTTTTAAATGCGGTTGTTGATTAAACCCATAAAAGGAAAAAGCACTTAAGGAAGTATTTGTAAATGCGGTTACTACCTGTCACAGGTAAATCCCAAAGCGAAGGGTGATGTTTGCGGTCACGTTCACTCCTCCCTTCAATCCCACAGCGAGTAGCGTCAAGCTAGCTACAAACAGGAAGTGCTCCCGGTAGTATATTTCAAAATAAAATGCAGAGTTATAAATATGTTGACGTGCGCGACAGTGTACCCGGCTATACATGATATAATACAGTTTATTGGTAATATTTAGAGAGTTGAAGGTGTTTAATCTCGGCTATGTATGGCTTTTTCGCCTCTGTGATATACTCGTGCTTTTACTTTGAAGGCACAAGTGGCTCCGCTCTGTCCTTTCTCGTGCATCTTCTGTGTGCTCTCATGAAGTTGTGTGGAGTAAAACCGGGTGTGAGATTTCACTCCTCACTCAAGTTGTTTGTGCGGCTTCGTGTGTAGTCAGATGTAGGAGCAGCCGGAGCTCAGATTAGGACGGCATCGCCCTGTGTGAGAGAAAGCAACTCAACAAAGTGACTGTTTTAGATGACCGAGAGTGCTCGGTGAAAGACTAGCGGCTACCCCAGGTCATGGTGGGATTCTTCGCGGGATGAGAGCCACCAGGGGCCACGCGCACTGGGGACATCCAGGGCGCCGGTAGTGCGCACCCACTGGGGGCAGCGGTGGGTGGCAAGCAGTCGGGCGGACGGGCTCACGGTGGGGTCGGCCCCCCTCCGGATGACAAAGCGGGTGACCCGACCGATGAATAACTCGGGAGGAGCTCTCGCCCGAGATCCAAGATGATCGCGGCGTTTTTCCCCCTGAAGAAACTGAGGCGCAATGGCAAATATCTCCTGTTCGGGGCGATTCTGCTGGTCGGAGCTGTGGCCGTCTACCATGAGATGGTCGCTGCAAAAGCATGGAGCAGTGAAACCAGTAAGTCTGTGGCTGCCAGTTCCGACACTGTTACGACAGGTCTTACTCAACAAGTGGTTGTCCTCTGAACGTTAAGGCAGTGCATCATTTACAAGGCACTTAAAACCAATAAACAACCTGTAAGTGATACAACAGGCTCGTGATACAAAGTGTATAAAAGCATGACGTTTGCAAAAGGATCAGGCTGCAGTAAAATTTAAGGCATCACGCAGACATAGATAAAAAAAAATTGTGCAACTTTCAGAGAAAGGATGCAGCAATGACTTCCTTACCTAAGAAGTCCACTTTTTCTTGAGTCTGTTCTGCATTCACTCATTTGATTGACTCATTTTTTTTCACCTGTTTTAACACTTCTTCAATGATGCTGAATAGGACTGCATTAGTTTCAAAGCTGTTTCTGACATTTGTCCATTTTATTTCTAAATATAAAGTAGCACCAATCTTAAAAACATCTTACAATTAAGTGCGGCTTCATAAGTGACCACAGACACTGTTGGGGAGGTGTTACCTAACGTTGGGAAACAGCAGAGGATCCACAATACGATATTTTCACAATACTTGAGTCACCATACAATATTATTGCGATTTTAAATATGTTGCGATAAAGTATACTGAGATTTATTACCTTTTTTTTAAGCCTTTTTTTTGCACCAAAATGTATCTCGTGTACTGAAAAAGCAATCAATTATATTAGTCTAGCAGGCTACTTTAAGTTTAATTTGCATTTGTAATAATAATAATGTGTATGATAAAACACACAATACAATATTGATTTTACCCCCACCCCTGTTAACTACATAGAGTTCAATTACTAGTTAATTACAGTTTGCAGCAGTTAGGCGACAGTTTAACTACATTACAATCTCTACATTTAAAGCTTTTTCAGTGTTAATTACTTGGGGTCATGTAGTTTATGTAGTTAATATCAAACTACATATTAATGGTATTGTCATGACATTTTTTTGCCATGCAATATGACATGATGCTGCAGCTTGTTGTCCACATTTGTTACTGATTTTGCACCCTGTCCTCACCTGAAAAAAACACATTCTCAGGCTACATAGGTGTAGACTGACCTGCCCTTGTCCCTAAATTAAACACACCTACACTTTATATCAGTGTCAGCTCAGTTCTGCCTCTGTGTGACAGTTAGGGGTGGGAATCAACAGAGGTCTCACGATACAATATTATTGCGATTTTTTTGAGATATGCTGAGTATTGTGATAAAATTGTGATATATTGCGATTTATTACCATTTTTCAGTGGCAAATTATGTCACCAAAGGAAAACTTTGTCAACATTGACAGTTTTATCGAATAAAATAAAGCGGTTAGTCTGTTTTAGTCATTTTTATTGCATTAAAATGTTTTCTAGTAAACTGAAAAAGCAACTGATTATATTGTTCTAATAGGCTACTAAAAGTTTAATTTGTATTGGTCATATTAATAATTTTCAAAATAGAAAATTGGTGTCTGTGTAGCAATACGATATTGCCATACAAAATTATCACAGTACTTTGCTGTATCGTTTTTTCCCCCAATCCCTAGTAACAATATAAGATTGCAGACTCGGGCTGTGATTATTCCCTATGATGTAGTTTGGATGCAGCTAAAGTACTTTTTAAAAGTAGTTTTACCTTAAAAAGCTAAAAAAAATTGAGAGTAGTTCAGATGTAGTTTAACTACTTTACATTTTGAAGTAGCTGGCAGTCTGTTTAACTATAGCTTAAATGTCATTTACCCAACACTGACCACAGAGCTGAATCATCACCTCTCTGTGATAAACATCTCCTTAATGCTGTGTGATGCAGCCAAAGACAGTTTCCCATTGTGCAGACAGTAAAGTTGTAACTAACAAAAGCACTGTTTATTGCAGTGATATGTTGTATTGGATTGTAAAGGAAATTCCATACAGTAGAATATATTTAGATCACTGTCAATGCAATATGAAGTAGTGCAGATATATTTTGTTGAAGTCCCCATGTGAGCATTGGCAGGAGTATATTTTACATCTAGTTTTCATGAATGATGCTCAATGCATTTGCACAGGAAACCCGAGCCTCCAGCAGGTGAGACAACAGCTCGATTTAAAGAGATGGAGTGAGTGTGTGTTTTAGAGCGAGAAAAAGAGTGACGGTGGGGGGGATGGGGAGGTCAGATTGCAGGGTTTACACTTGGAAGGAAGTCTCATCTCACACAGGGTAATCAAACTTCCTGCCCTTTACCATATTTACGCCTCAGCTTACCATCTGTTTCATGGCACTCACACCCATGTATAACATCAGAGTGTCACCTCCTCTGGCATGGACACAGATGAAAACAGTGAAAATAGTAAGGTTGGTGTCTGCCCACGAGAGAGTAGTGACAAAACATGAAACACACACTTTGAACAAAGCCTGACGTGTAAACACATGCCTAAGACCTACATTACAGGGCTTGCCTATCTACACATTCCTGGGCTGTAGCCCTTTCAACACAATGGGACTTCTGTCAAGGGAGGGACCCCATGTAGCTCTCAACCAGAGCTGAGAGAGCAACGTGAAGATCTAAATGTGTAATTCAAGGATGGCAGGTGGGATTGGACACATAGGATTATGCTACCAGCATTCTTGCAGGTGTTTGTGATGACAAAGTGCATCAGATGTGTTATTTATCAAGTGTAAAAGCCAGTTTGATGTCACAATTATTAAGTTTAATTCCACTTTTGTAAATGATAGGGTTTGAAAATTGTTACACGCAGTCGTGTGTGTAGCTTGTTGCTCCATTTTTAAACTGCCTCGATTGAAATTCCACTTTTATGGGACACATGGGGTAAATAAAAATGTCAGAGAGGAATGTCTGACACACAGATTAAGTGATTCCAGGTAACTGCGCTTATTTCTCCCGTTAAATTACAACCAATCCCGAGCTTTGTAGATGTAGATGTAGATTGTGATTAAAGGGGCTGCAATTCGATACAAGGAATCTGTGCCCAATATTGCGCTCATGCATTGCGACTCCTGTTGCAGACGGCAACGTGCACATTTGCACAGAGATGTCCTTGTTACATGACATTTTAAGTTTATTTTTAAAAGGACAAGAACATTGCACCGGCCAGTGTCACATACTCAGTCCTCAGTACATAAGCATGTTCGTAACACCCCTCCACATTTTTCATTCTGTCAAAACTTTGTTCTGAAATTGCAGATATCAAATTTAAAAATACTGCACTATGGGATTAAATTAAACGCTCATATCCATCCTGATCATGATTTCTGATGGACTTTTGTTGTTGTTTTTTGATATAATAGCAGTTTTAGAATATTTCTCAACCTAAACACCACATGTAAACAAGAAAAAGCTGTCTGGGTTACATATGATAATTCAGTCAGCTGATCCTTCTCAAGACATCACTAACTTTAACATGTTTACACACAGGCTCTGGCTAAATATTGACTCTCCATTAAGCTCCAGCTATTAATACCCAGTGAACAAATGTTAAAACCATAAAGAGATCGACACTCAGGTTCAGAAGTACAAGATAGGACATAATGTTTACAAATAACACTTGGCGCTAAGTGTTTTGTTCATCATCTTTCCCTGTCACCACTGGTCTAAATAATTACTCAGTAAACATTAGTAAGCTCATTGATCTACTGGAGCTTGTGCTCACACTCCAGCGCTCTACAGTCAGCCTGTGTGAACATTTATGTAATAACAAGACACAAAATTAGAGTTGTCCTAATATCAGTATCAGTGTCTGAAATGCCTCAGATACCGCCTAAAGTACTGGATTAGGTATCGGCTAGTACACAACTAGTTCCCCACCAGTTTTCCTGGAAATCAATCCTTTGCCACTTCAAAACAGCAGCCTAAACAACAAGTTGTGCTGTGTAGCCACAGGTAGCTACTGTTTTATAGTCATGAGGAAGAACTGATATCTGGTAATAAAAAGTGTAATGTTAGCTGTTAGCAAAATGTCGAACTAGACAACAGAAAGTTCTGTGGCGTCTGTTCTCTGTATGTGTTTGTAATGTCTCAACTGTGTATTTGTTCAGGGTTGAACCTGAGCCAACAATGACAGCAATCATCTGACATCCCTACAGGGTTGTTAGTATACAGCTGTTGGTATTGGCTAATACACTTCTACACAAAACTAAAAAGGAGCATTATAGAGAATAAAAGGAAATACAGCAGTCCACATTAGGGATGTGTGTGATGAGTCAGCAGTTGAATGTTGTTGTCATTAGTCAATCGGGGGATTGCAGGTTGCAATGGTCCTCTTTGCAATGGTATTAAAGTTAAAGTTAAAGTTCCACTGATTGTCACAGTGTGTGAAATTTGTTCTCCGCATTTGACCCATCCCCTGAGGGAGTGGTGAGCAGCAGCGGTGCTGCGCTCGGGAATCATGTGGTGATCTAACCCCCCAAATTCCAACCCCTGATGCTGAGTGGCAAGCAGGGAGGCAGTGGGTCCCATTTTTATAGTCTTTGATATGACCCGGCCTGGGATCGAATTCACGACCTCAGGGCGGACACTCTACCGCTAGGCCACTGAGCTTTCTTAAGTATAACGCCAAGATAGGGAGAAAAACTTAAGGAAACTTTAAGGAGAGGACTTAAGAATGTGCAATTGTTTTTTTAAAGGAACCCTCAACTCAGATTTAAAGGTAAATCTTAACTTAAAGTGCTTTATGCAAGTGGCCCCAGAGACTTAGCTGGGTACGTTGTGAATGCTAATGTTAAACGTGATTAAACCGAGACAGTACATAAATTAGTTGACAGCTTTGTGTCGATGTTCATTCATTCATATTCCGTAACCACTTATCCTTTTGGGGGTCACGGGGGGGCTGGAGCCTATCCCAGCTGACACTGGGTGAGAGGCAGGGTACACCTTGGACAGGTTGCCAGACTATCTCAGGGCTAACACATAAGCTCTTTTTAGATAGGAATTGTGCAAATTTGCCCAATTCAGCCCAATCAGTCTTTTTTCAGCATTGGTAGTATAAAAACAAAATAGAGTTCGGCAAAATGCCAAACGTACAAAACGTGTATTTCAGTGAGTGACGTAAACAGCCTCGCTCCGAGGGAAGCCACAGCTGGTCAGTCCTTCAGCAATTCTCTCGTAAGTCGGCCCGTCCTTCACCATCCCCGTCATTTGACAGTTAATGGCCTTTTTGTTTGAGAGGGCAAGGAGGGCGCACAATTCTTTGTCTCCCCAGTTGCTCATCTTTACAGTGTCTGTCAGATTTGCATTTCCCTCTTGCCACTAGTACTAGCTGCTCATTCCTGCTATCGGCTGTTTCCTGTTTATCCACCGCCAGTGGTTCGCACGTGCGGCATCATCAACAGCTCCTCCCACAAGTTTTCAACAGCCCCTCTCGTGGCGGAAGGCCGCCTCGTTCTTTTTAAACCATAAAGGTTTTGCCAATATGTTTACCCCTACGAGGCGGAAAATTGGGCACCTCGGATCAACTCGCCAATCCAGCTCTGTGTGTCTAAACGCTCGCAGCTTGCCGGCAAATCAGCCCAACATTTGCAGAAAATCTGGCAGTGTAAAAGGGGCTATAGGTACAGAATATCCATTCACACTCACATTCACACCTACGGACAATTTAGAGTCACCAATTAACCTGCATGTCTTTGGACTGTGGGAGGAAGCTGGAGTACCCAGAGAAAACAGGGCGAACATGCAAACTCTGAGCAACAATTCTAACCACTGCACCACCGTGCCGCCTGGCTCTAGATATACCAGTTGATTTAACTCATTATTAAAATTATTATCATTTTATAAATGTAGACATTTAAATGACATCATGGGCATAATTTGCACTGACATGTCATGTCTTTATAGTCAAATGGTTAAAAAAAACAGCCTCCACTAACTTCTATTGTTATCACCACCAAATAAGAAAAAAAAAGGGGGAAAAAAAATCACATTGGCCTGTTTGTCCCCGCTCTGCAAGTAGCGAGGTAGAAAGTGGGACAAAGAAGACATCTCATAACACCAGTGTGGTTTCGCAGTATTTTGATTTGTTTGAAAATTGAAAAAAAAAAAAAAAACATTGTATGTAGGCTGTGTCAGCATAAAGTGGCATGTAACCACTCGACCAGAGTCATGAGTAACCACATTCAGCACAGACATGTGAACATTAACCTATTAGGGGAGCAGGCTGCTGGTGCTAGCCAAGCTCACTGACTGACACTTTTTTTTTTTTGGTAGGACGGTGCAAAGCTCCACAGCGGCATTTGGTTACTTGAAAACTTGATTTTAAATGGCTCTTATAATACAATAAATATTTTTCGGAGAATATTTCCGTTTAAATGTCAGGGAAATTTGTCGTTAGGAGTAACTAAGTCCATAAGTCATAATTAAACTACACAATATGGCCCCTCAGAGTATCTAAAAAGTACAAAATTCACAGTCTTAATTAAAAAACCTCTTTGGCTCAGTGTGTCCAAACCAAAAAACCTAGAATCCCTCTCGCTGTTAATGGTAATTGTTTTGTTTTCCTCCTGTGCAGCAGAGCAGGAACGCATTCGTCACCTACAAGCAGAGAAGAAAGTGAAAGATCAAGATTGTTGGCACAGGTTACCAGGAGCCCTGTTAGGCTCGGCTCTGCAGATATGGGTCTTTAAGGGATGGCTTGTTTTTCCCACATGTAGGTCACCTGGGCACTTAAGAACATAGATAACACGTGAAGTGCTGCAGTTAATAAATGTCCCGATGGAGAAATGGCTGCCTGTGTGGGTGGGTGATTTTTTTATGTGGTGATCTTTTTTACCGGGCACTCTTCCCACATTTCTGAATAATCCCTCGGTAGAGAAGGTTCTAGTTGGGTTAATGATAAATACTTTACACCAGCCTGTCTCTAATGCTTTCTCGGAAAAACCCTCTCGGCATTACACCGTCTGCAGTGTGCTTCTTATCCATAAATGGGAATAAACATTTACCATGTTTGACTATGCAAACTGCATGTTTGACTATCCATAAATGGGAATAAACATTTACCATGTTTGACTATGCAAACTGCATGTTTGACTATCTTTTCTGTATGTTTTGCGTAGCCTCTCACCCAAAATCCACACACAAATGCAACAGTGTTTGTCTAAAATTCTTTTAACGGCAGCAAATTGTCCATAAGAAACGTCTATTTGGCGGCGTCAGTAGCCCGACCTGAAATATAGTCTCCAAGGTAGAAAGAACAGGCCAAAATGTCACATAAATACAAAAGCCACATTAAAAAACTTCAGTCTCTCTGTTGTCGAGATGAAGGCTGAAAAGCCTGTAAAGCCGTGCAGCAATTTTCATTTTATCAGCTGAAACATTTTTGAGTCTTTCAATTTCACCAAAGAAAGAGCTGACAGTCATTCTGAAACACTGAATTCGATGACAGAATGAATAAGGAATTAAACAAAAGCCTTATCAGTGCTGTGGTGAACACTGTGACAAAAAAGGGAACAGAGGAAGGTTTGGTAGTAGTAGAAAAACTGGATGAGTGCAGATGGAGATAAAAATATTCCTCTCTTGCTTTTCTTAACCGCCACTCTAGAATTACGTGCGCTGCCAAAATTGTCCCACATGTCTCAAGGGTGTGTGTTTGGAGATCTCCACCCTGGTGATAATGACAGACTCCGAGTCTACAGGCACTGTCACTCACTGACACCACAGGCTCGTAAAAAAACACACTGAGGTCCTTTAAAATACACACTACCCTATAATTTGAAGGATGATAGAAGAGGTTAGGGAAGGAGTAATATTTCTGCATCTGCTCTACCGGAGCGCCAGAAAATTTGTGCAAACAGAGGAGTGCCATAGCAGCTCATTAAAGGCTGAGTGAGATGAGTTACAGTCAGTGGTCATCAGCATTGAATTGGAACAGGGAGTGGGTGGGACTCCGTTGGGACACTGGGCTCCATTGTTCGTGCAACACAAGCCCATAGTAAATGAATAAAAAAGCATGTATAAGTAAAAACTGGAAAATCTCGCAACACCTGAAGTACGTGGTGAGCTATAAAGCATCGGGCAAGTTGGATTGATGATGCTGTTGGCTCGCATAATTAGTAGAGTGTTTGTTTTTCTGTGGTTGCAGCAGAATGCCGCCTGTGCCATGTTTTCAGCAGCTCTGTTTGCTTAACTATGATGAGTTTGTCATTCATACACGTACATGTGCACTTCCTCCTCCCAGCACGCTCTCCCACTTTAAATAAAATGATTTTCCTATGCTGAACCACACGCTCTTCCTGGATTAGAATACATTTTGTTTGAATGCACACTCAGAGGGAAGCCAATACAGGATTAACAACCTGCTCCACCTCCTGGGAAAATCACAAATTTCTTTCAAATCAGCAGAGGAGATCTTGTGTTGCCCATCTGTGCATCATCGCTGCATATTTGCCTGTCAGCCCAGCGCTGCTCTGATTGTTTTCATCCACTTTCTCAGGTATGAATCCCTACGCTGACAGCAGCAGCTGGAGGAGAGCCATGTTTGACGAGAGGGTAAGGACGGTGCATGGAAAAAGAAGTGGTAATAGAAAATGAGGTGATGCAAGGGTGTGTGTTTGTGCAGGGAGGGGTGGCGGAAACCAAGCTTAGACTTAAATATGTGTGTTTTCCAGGTCAGGAGAGACCAGCAGCCACACTCCATGGAGGATTCAGCCGCTTGGAGAACAAGCTACACTCCACAAACCTGGAAACCAGAGGTGTGTGTGTGTGTCCATAGTGTCCGCATGCTTTAACACTCACCTCCTTTGAACTCTAAATAACCTGCCAAGACCTGCCCAATTCCCTCCCACCTCACTTCATTTGCCTCTGTATACAATTTGTTTCCTGCAGCAGAGTCTGCTTCAGCAGCTTCCATTGCTCTGTCATCATGTTTCCACTATATTAAGAAGCACTGTGCTTTGGCCAGTTGCTCGCACCTCATGTTTCATGTTCGGGGGAAGTTGTTGCTGTGTCTGGCTCTGCAGACCAGTGTAAGCACACTCTGCAGTAGCATTGTGACAGTCCTAGTGATCATGTTTGTGCGGGTGCCCTCTTAGTCATTCACTGGATGTGATTAACGCTATAAGATTTAATTGCCTTAACCGTTGACTTACAATCTGTCAAAGTGCTTCATCCAAACAGAGTTGACTGGTCTGACAACATGTAATTTGTTAAGTGTCAGTAATTTTCTTTTAATTGTGTTTATTGCAGGGTAGTTATACCTGGAATAGCTCTTTAAAAATTAATTATAGGTATACTGAATCAACTTAGTACGTTAATCCTTAGGGTATTTCATTCATGAACCAGAAACACACATTACCATCTGATTATTTAATCTATAAATAGGCTTTTTCTTCTTTTACTTCCAAAAAGGGTTAGTTGTAAGTTGTTCAGTCATTATTCATTGTAAAAATCAGACTATAAAAAGTCTAAAAGTTGTGGAAAACACCATCATAGTTTCCTTAAGTTCAAGATGATGTCTAAAGATTTAGACATTTAAGAACTAACACTCCAAAACCCAAAGATGTTTAAATTACAATCACACAAGTGAAATAAAAGTGTAAATCCCTCACAATTGTGAATGTCTTGCGGGCGCATTCCCGATGAAGTCTGGGAGTGCTTAGGGCTGTCCAAATTCACAATTAAACCAGTCCACAAGGGGCCTTAAAGGTACTTTCTGCAGACTTCTAGAGACCCGCCTGGGGTGCAGACTTAAAGGGATAGTGCACCCAAAAATGAAAATTCAGCCATTATCTATTCACCCATATGCCGAGGGAGGTTCAGGCGTAGTTTTAGAGTCCTCACAACACTTGCGGAGATCCAAGGGGGGAGGGGCTAGCAACAAAATTCCACCTAATGCAGGCTGACGGCGCCCCAGATTAAAATGTCCAAAAACACATAATTGAAACCACAAAATATCTGGGGCGCCATCAGCCTCCATTAGGCGGAGTTGTGCTGCTACCCCTCTCCTCTTGGGTCTCCGCAAGTGATGTGAGGACTCTAAAACTTCACCTGAGCCTCCCTCGGCATATGGTTGAGTAGATAATGGCTGAATTTTCATTTTTGGGTGCACTGTCCCTTTAAGCAGACTTCACTGATTTAATCGCCCACAATTCATTGCAAAACGGATGTGATGTTGTAGCTTCTTTTTCAATAGCCGACTAAAAATAAATAAATAATGCATATCTAAAACAGTTACAGTAGCCTATTAAAACAATACTTGAATTGTGTAGGTCAGAAATAATATTCAACAGCGTCATGATATACAGAAATATGTAGAAATATAAGCTATATAGGATCATCAAAATGCATTGAATAATTGCAGCCAACCCTATAGGTTGCACAGTGAAATGCCAAATATGCCAGAGGCTAGAAAAGTGGCCGAAAAACAACCAAAGAAGATCGTCTTGTATTTGAATGTCTGCAGTCTATAAATTATACAAAAATATATGTTGTTCACTCACATAGCAACCCTGTACATGGGATTTATATCTTGTCATCTGTAGGGACAGATGAGCAGTCAAAATATGCCAGCAGTTACAATGATTGTAATCGTCGCTGATTTTCAACCAGCTTTGTTTTATAACAATGTGGGAAGTGTGCGTAAATGAACCATGTCAAACTTCCCTTCATCTTGCCAGCGCCCAGTTCTCCTTGCTCATTTGCCGTGCGTTTTGTCACATCAGCAGTAGGCAATGCTTGCATTTTGGTAGATACAGGTGTTCTGGTCTTCAATTTAAAACATATTTGCACCTTTCTACTGCATAGACAGCCCAATGATGTGAAAAAAAAATCTTTTCAGCAGTGAAATACTCCTTTCACTGTCACAGCTATCACAGATTTAGCACTCTACTTATTCTACTCTACTGAAAAGGGTGCAGCAGAGCCATAGCTGAAATAAAATAAGATTGAACTTGATAGCAAATAAGCTTCTCAGACTCCCAGTGAAGTGGCCTTTGATCACAGACATGAAAACGGAAGGAGAAAGGCTTGTTAAATGATTACAAGCAGCGCCGAGCCCGTGAGGCACTTTGAGTCATTATTTCACAGCCTAACCCCAGAGCTTAGGTCACGCTAACATTTAACTAACTGTGCTGATGACAGCAGAGTGTTAAGCTTGACCACTAATGAAATTTGATGAACTACTGGACTGGTATCGTCGAGGCTTTGGCTCTCTCTCACCTGCATCATTCTGCCCCTGTGCTGCAATCAGCACACACAGATCAGATAACATGGCCTCTTTGGCAGATGTCACAGAGGTGTATGTTTACAGGACATCTGGGCCTCCGCTGAAACTCGACTGTCTCTTCATTTACATGTGTGTCCAGGGTTTCCCACTGACTTTCATTGAAGCAGTTGGAGGCAGGGAAGAGCAATTTAATGGCGGCTTCTATTGTCACTCTGGGATCCACCCGCTACCTGTGTGTACATATATCTTACTTAAGGGATGAACTCACCCACATTACAAATGCACTTACTCACTTAACCTCTGGCCGTTTACAGTTAAACAAACAGTTTTAGTTTTATCATTTGCAGAGATTGTTGGCAGAAAGTAGTTCCAAAGAAAACTATCAACCAAGTCTGTGGATTATTTCTAGAGTGATAGGTTTCTGTGAAGATAAAATTCTTTGATTCCCTCCAGCTCCCCTCCAGTCATGTTTTTAAGAATGTAAAAATATACTGCTACAATAAATACTTTGTTTAACATGATTTTCCAATGTGAGAAGTAAAAAAAACTCATAAAAGGGGCTGGCAGCACATCTACTCTTTCTCCCTTACTGAGAAATTCTGGATCTGGCCTTCACCCCACCCACTGCTCTGAGTTAACTAGTGAAAGAGTGGTGCGCATCAAGATGGCTAGCGTTAGCAATAGAGGAAACACCGAAGAGATTCAGGCAGATATAGAGTGCCCCAGGAATGAGTCCTAAACCTGGAAATGAGTTAGCATTTTAGCATTCCCAGTTCCTTTGTCTCAAAGTAAACTTTTTTAAAATGGGGTTTTGGTTAGATGCCTGAAATAAGGTTTTTGAGACTTTCACGTTTTGTTCTATGACATGAAATATGCCAGTAAATACATCACTTGTGAATTTTGTTGCCTGTATGCGTCTTAAAAAAGCTTGTTAACAAGCGGCTAAAAGAGACTACAGAATGTCATCACGCTGAGCGCGGCTTCAGTGCATCGTTGTGGTGGTGATGTGAAATCATTGTTAGCTTTTTACTCCTGGCGATTGCATTAAGGCTTCAAAAATCATAAAATTGGTGTTAATTTGTGAGGATTATCTTGCTGAACGAAGCATGCATCATAATGTTGTGTTTACCACAGAGCTTTTTTTTTTTTTGCAATAATCCAAAATCCAATGGAAAAGTCCCATAGGGTTTTTGTTGAGGACACCAGGCAGATGCTAATTTCCATGTGGCCTACAGAAAAACTTCATCCCTGTAGCCCTCTATTTTTCCTCTACGTTTTAAAAAATATTTTGTTGTTTTACAATATATCTCCGTCCACACAAGAACACAAATACGACCCTATACGCTCGCCCTCGTTAGCTGTCTTCAGCAGTTTCCCCTCCTCACAGAAGGACGTTACGTTTTTCAAAACACTTACTGGAGATCTCATCACCGTTTATTCCCATTTGATGAGTGAAGGAGCTCACTCAAATTCACAAGTGATGCTCTGGATATGCTAAAGATTTCCTTCTATTCCTCATTGACAACAATCCAACCCTGGAAAGTGTTCCTCCATCTCCTGGTTCGAACTGTATGGCATCAAATTGGTTCCTTTATCGAATATTGTTTCCCTACTGTTCATGCATAGTGCCCCCCTTGGTGGTTAGGGTTGGGCCTAAGGGTTTGGGTAAGGTCCTTTTTCAGAACTATAGTTTCTGATGGGCTTTATACCGCAGACACTGAGGTGGAGCAAAAACACTGGGTGCAGCAGATGGCTCCGATTGTCTGTGGAGTTGTGCGGCAATACTAGGTTTAGGTGTAAAGTAGTTATTAGACCAAGCAGTGCTAACAAAGCATTAGAAGACCAGTGATTCATCATTGCTGTTGTCTATAGCATATGCTTATTGCACAGAGCAACAGTGGGCATGCCTGAATTAAGGAGATTGCATCATAATTTTCCAAAGGCTCCATTTTACACTTCTACACAGATAAACAGTAACTGGAGCTTTAAAAAATCTGCACCTTAAATGGTCTCAAAATATTCTTGTTTTAGTGACCCAAACCCTGTTTGCTTGCGGACAAGTGGCCACAGCCATACATGTTTTAGCCTCAGTCAGACTCAGTTAGTCTGATGAGCACCAAAATTAGCCAATGTGTCAGAATGGTAAGTATAGTTAGCATTTTTTATTTGTTTAAGTTGTTTGTTAGGTTGTAACAGGCAGTGGCTGACACAGCATAAGGGTTGCAAAGCATTTAATATCTGCTATGATGTTACAGTGTGTTCACATTGGTCCAGTTTACGTCCAAAGGCTGTGCACTCTACCATGTTTGCTGTCAAAACTTTCACCACGCTACTGCAAACTTTCTCTGTCTGCTCTGTGTTGGAGGTTTAAGGGTTTTTGGGGCAGCCTTTGTATATTAGACAGCAGTTAGCTTTCATATTAGAGACTTACCGAATCTTGCATTGAATCTCAGATTTCAGGAAAGCACACAGATATTTCCCGCTTCACTATAGGAATGTGAAAACACCTCTTTTGTGACAAACAGTGCGCAGATGCAAGTCAGCAAATCAAGGTCGGATATTTTAGGGGGACGTAAACAAAGTGGCTGGCATCCTTTAAGTAATTAAATAATGCTTTGAGAACCACACCTCCACAGAATTCGGGTACAGCCTAAAATCTTGGAGCCAGGTATTTTTAACTAAGCAAGTAAATAAAACCAAAGCAATGTGCATGGGTAGATACCACTAGAGAGAGTGTTTTGTAATTTGGGTGCAATGACTCTTTGAAAAAGACTTGTCTGTACACAGGAAGTGCGGTGGCTGGTAGGAATTGGGTGACAGTTGAAACCAGTAGTCCTGTCATTGTATTGTCAAGTGGTATCTGAGGAGGTCTGTATTTGTTGGTTTTAGTTTGCTAAGTACTGAGGCCACCAGATGGTTAATTGTTTCGCTGTTCCCAGTGTCATCCTCACTGTCTCTTTACTTCCTGCAGTATAAGGGACAGGCCAATCTGCACGTCTTTGAGGACTGGTGTGGCACTTCTACAGCTGACCTCAGCAAGAACCTGCACTACCCGCTGTACCCTCATGTGAGTCAAACCCCTGTCCATGTCTTTCCCCCAGGAGTACCGTGAAGTATTCATGGTGCAAAGACATCCCTACACACACTCTGACACAAACGCCCTCACACACACACCGTTGTTTTCACTCAGAGGTGCATTCTACATCCACGTGTTAGATCCTCATGTCCCTGCACTCAAGATGTAGTCTCACTTTGAGTAAACACCACGGCTGATACTCTTGTGTTTTTCTTTCCTCCCTCTTTCAGTCCAGGATTACAGTGTCAAAGCTGGCTGTCTCCCCTCAGTGGACAAACTATGGGCTCAGGATATTTGGTTATCTACATCCATACAGCGATGGTACAACATGTGTTTTTTCGTCCAGTCCCTGTCTGCTACCTCACTGAGAACATGCTTGCAATTCTTCTCCCTCTATCTCTCCTTCAATCAGTCTCTTTATCTCCTTTTTTCTCCTCATCTTACAGGAGAGTTTGTGTTTGCTGTAAGCTCCGATGACAACTCGGAATTGTGGCTCAGCTCAGATGAGTCTCCCCTTAACTTGCAGTTACTGGTATGGGTTGGAAAGGTACGCAAGTCTTTCATCTTTACAAGGAGCAGAGGATCATTTCCGCATAGCTTTTATTGTTCACTGTCATATTTCTTTTGCACGCTGGGTTTCTCTTTCTAGACTGGCACAGAATGGACAGCCCCGGGCGAGTTTGACAAGTATGCCAGTCAGACCTCCAAACCAGTTAGGTGAGTTGATACCAGAGAGGATTTCACTGCCAAATCATCAGCTAACATTAATGGTGTGAATAGTCAAACATGCAATATTGCTCTGTGTGTATAGTACAGCAATTAAACTAGTGCAAAGTCTCAGGTGCAGTCCAGTCTCTTTGTCTGACTGTAAAACTCAGTTATTGGAGCCAATGAAAGCTCGGTTCAAAATCTAGAGCATTTCACCCTAGCATGAATGCTACATCCAGACTGTGTGGGTGTGGTTTGATCGGATTTAACTGACAGTAGCATCTTCAACAAGCACCATACACGATAGAAAATGTTTGAAATTCTCATTGGTGCATCGTTACCCTTCTACTTTAAACCCATAAGAGGAGCACATGTAAAACAACACAGACTGAATCATTCAGTATCTCAGGAACACTTTGAGGGAATTTATTCAAATCTGACGCAAATGTCACCTGGATTTTGGTGGTTAAAGGTCACTGTAACTTCACCAAACACGTTTTTGGCCATTACTCCAGTATTCATATGCTAATTGTGACGGGCAGATAAAGATTTCTGCACACGCACATCTATGCAGTGTTTCACTTTATTGTTGAGCTTTCATCAGAGCATACGTAAGGCAACAATGGACCGGCTGGTAAAAGTAACCAATCTCAGTCTAATCACTGGCTGTATGCAGTACATCTGTGCGCAACCGTGGTTGTAGAAGCTCCACCTCCTGGGAGTTGTAGTTTTCTTTTAAAAAACACTGAATGGCGGGGTGTTGGTGGCTTAGTGGATAGAGCAGGCGCCCCATGTACAAGGCTGTTGCCGCAGCGGCCCTGGTTCGACTCCAGTCTATCGCCCTTTGCTGCATGTCATTCCCTCTCTCTCTCTCTCTCCCCCCTTCACACTTAGCTTTCCTATCAATTAAAGGCAAAAAGTGCTCCCAAAAATATCTTAAAAAAAAATACTGAATGGCAAGCTGAGAGGCATACAAATGGAAGCCATACTTGTATTGTCATACAGTACCAGAATACAAAACAAGGGTAGAACACAGTAAATACAAAAGAACCTATATGAAATCACCTTGATTTTTTAAATACAGGTGTATTGCATGCAGCCAATGATTAGACTGAGGTCATGTTTACACGAAAACGATCCACTGACAACAGAATTGTTTCTCATTTTCGTTTTGAAAAAAGTTGCACAGTCAGATAACAACGTTTTGATAACAATCACTGCGCACACAGATCCGCAAAAATGACCAAAAGCGCTGTAGTATACATGCCAGGCCAGTAGTTGGCAGTGTGACTTTGTAATGAAACAACACTCACCTGTGCACATGTGTTTCGTTCTACAGAGCAGTGATGTATAAACAAACAAAATGGCAACCGCACAAACGTTTGTCTGGACAGACAACGAGGTGGAGTTGCCACGGTAAATCTACACTTTGCTGGAGAAATGTAGAGCTCAGGAGTCCGCCATTGTTTTTGTGACGGTTGACTTTCTCGGGGATGCCTAAGACCTTAATGTCCATGTGCGAAAGGTTTTCAGAGGAACTGCATATAGCAAGTTTACATGACAAGGGAGACGGTGCTGTTTGCAAAAAAAAATGCTCTCTGGAACCCGTTTTCAAGACTTTGCATTTTCAGGCACCCAAAATGCTGCTGTCGTGTAAAGTTTACCGTTTTAGGTTGAAATCTTTGTCGTATAAACAGGACCTGAGATTGGGTACTTTTATCAGCTTGTCCATTGTTGCCTCACATATACGCTGATGAAGGTCTACTAGACCAAAAGCTCAACAATAAAGTGAAACACTGCATAGATGTGTGCAGAATTCTTTCTCCACCAGTCTGAACTTACTGATGTTTCCAGCACCTTGCCAAGGCCAAGCTGGGTGGAGCGGTGGTTATTCTGCATCATATGATACTTGTGACAAAATTGCACACAAATATCCAAAGGGATAAAATGATCAAGTGATGACATTTTATATCCAAAAGGTCAAAGGTCAACTTCAGTGACATTGCCATGTTCTACAAAAACACTTAGCTGTCTATTAGTCAGCGTCATAACTCCGGAACAGAAGGGGACACATAACACTAATCTTGGGTGTTCACTGTGAAACTGTGCTGATTGTATCGATCGTCCGTGCTGCCGGGTTGAAGATGTGTGAGAGTGCATGCGTCCACATTTTAGAATTTGCAGCTTCTTCGCAGCAACATCCATATTTGAAGCATTGTTTGCTGTCATGGTAGCCCACCACAAGCTCACTGGTTTTGCTGATAATGAGCTTCAGGTGTTTTTTCCCCCGTGGCATGAAGCTCTCTCAGTCCTCTGTAAAAAATATTCTCTAAGTGAAGACAGCATGTTTCTCACTAGAAATTATTCACTGATATTAAAATAAACACATTTTATTAGATTCATTTCAAAGTCTTGACAGACATGGATATAAACTGCAGCTGTAACTCTAGTTTAAATCTGTCTCTTGCAAGTCCCCCATACGGAAGTGCACAACTAACTTGTAGGACTGCCCCTTTAATCACATCAAACCAATACCTTAACATAAGCACCTCTGCTCTGAGAACCCAAGCATAAGCATTTCTGTGTAAAAATGTATATGCTCTTCTGGGAATCCAATCTGTACTTGATGACATGGTAAAAACTCAACACTACTGTTATGACACGAGTACTGGAAAAAAAGTCAGACAGCCATCTCTAGCTATTTCATAGAGCAGCTGCTAACATGCTGGAAAGTTCTGTCACACTGAGTGGGCGTGGTTTACCATAACTAGGCAGGAAATATTCTGTGCTGTGTGGTCTAGATGAGTTTGGTGAGTTGCCACCGACACAAGAAAAAGTAATTATCAGTAAGCAGGATCAATAGTAGTAAATGTAAACGCCTGGTGACTTTGTTTGTCCTCATTCACTCACGTCAAAACAACTTTATGTATTTAGCCCCACAGCATCATAACTTTACCTTGAGGGGATTTATAATCTGTAAAGCACACAGTCTTCTTAGGTCATTGTACATAAACTACATTTGTCCAAGGGCCAGAATTTACCTAAGAAGACAATGGGAGGGCCGGGCTTTCCAAGAAAAATAAATAATTTTAAAAAATTTTTAAAAAAGAGACCAAATTAGCCTATAATTGTTTTATAATTTAATTGTGTAATTTTATTGATGAATTAAAATGATAAATTAAAAGTAAATGAAATGAAATGAAATGTTTAATGTGAGTTTGTCCCCGTTCTTGCACAAAGATATGACACAAGCCACATTTCTCAGCTTTAACTATCCAATCTGCACAATTGTCAATTATTAATGATTAAAAACCCATGATATTATGTAGCTATCTTACCCAAACCCGTCTACAGCCTGTGGGTCAATAATAAGCTAATAATAAGCTAGTGTTTGTGGGTCACACACACACATATTTGGGGTTGTTAAATCACAGTTAAGTTATTTTGAGCTCAGTTGTTTTTGGGTTGCTCTAATATAAGAAGAAAATATAATGCTCGATATCATAAAGACCAGAACGCATGGCCTCCTCCTCAAATGGTAGTCTGCGGCTGGATGGGAAGCTTTGGCGGGCCATAATAGATCCGCGGGCTGCCAGTTGATGATTGCAGTCTTAGACCCTTGACTCCTGTAAGGATAAGCTTCCTCCCAAATAAAACGTTTATTAGGGACAAAATGGAAGAGCAGTGAAGCCAACCAGGAGCGACACAGATCTTGTGCTTAAAGCCACATGATTGTATTTCTTTAGAGACAGTTTAAGCTGTGTCTGATGTGACTATAATGTAATGCTGGATCTGATTTTTTCCTGTCCGACAGGCTGTCTGCTCAGAAGAGGTACTTTTTCGAGGTTATCCACAAGCAGAACGATAAAGGAACTGACCATGTGGAGGTGGCAGTAAGTAGTAGTACAGAATGCCCCCTCCTTCCTTCTTTGTCACATTTAGTTGGTTTCAACTCTCATGTCACGTCTGTGCTCATTTTCATGTGCAGTCTGAGTAATAAAGTGGAAGAGACATGCAGTTCTTTGTGTTGATTTTCACACAGTGGCGGCTCCAGGATCGAGGCAGGTTCAGTGTTATTGAATCCAGTCATATCTCCCTCTATGTTAGTAAGTACACAAAAAACCCACACATCATTCCTGCCGCTTAAAAAACACATCACTCAGCGAATCTTTATTAGTCTAGAGCTCAGGATGGATTTCCATGACACAGCGTCTCATGACTCAAAACTGCCATGGCGCTCAAACCTGCATATCAAGTCAAGTGGTTCAGTTGCACAATAAATGCTCGTCTTATTCTATTGTCCTGTGGCTTCATCCCACAGATGAGTCTGCCTTGTTAATGAGTGACGTAGCCCACATACCACAGACGGCTGCGAGCCACCAGCACACACCCACAAGGCAGCAGAGTGCTGCAGCAGACATGTTGAGGGAGGACCCACGAGACACTCTCTACCACGGTGAGAGACGTCTCTCTGTTGCCCTATTTCTTTGTGGCACAGCTGATAAATCACCTCATCCTCCATTTCTTACCGTTAGTTGCAAGTATTGTGCAACTTCTTTCCTCCCACTAAATGCACCAAGTAATCTTATCTCAAATCTGTGTGTTGTTTTTGTCTGCAGTGCCTTTGATAAACAGCAAGTTCCTACATGGTGTTCTGCCTGACTGTTCGTACAAACCCAGCTACATTATAAAAGACTTTCCGCTTGTCCGCTACCAAGGACTGCAGTTTGTACGTATTTATATAGTTTGTTTCATTCATATTTCACTGACAGTTTTGCTAGTTGAGCTCCAGCCCACATTATTCTTCAAAGCTTATCATTCATACTAAACAGGTCATGAATACAGTGCAGGGTTAGCACTGTGGTAAGCAAACGTCTTATTTAGGTTGCCTCAGAGTAATACAGGAAGCTTTCTTTCATAGCCCTCTCTTATTGTGTCTTTAAATTTGTTCCTGTTGTGCTGAGCAGTGTTGCCTATTTGAGGAATTATGTCAGCATACATACAGTAACAGTGCGATGTCCCCTGAGGACAAATTTAAAGTGAACACCCAGATTTGCTGCACCCATTAGAAAGGAAAAAAACATTTAGAAGCACAGAAGCTTCTGATTTCTCTCACTTGATTCTACAATCTTCAATTTTTGTCACTTTGTGCTGACTTCCTGAAGTATCTGCTGGTTGCCTAGCAGCCTTTAAGTGACAACAAATGTCACTGCTCAGCCAAGAAATAGTCCTACACATGACGCCCATAAGACCATAAACTGTTGTTTTTACACTTTGGTTTTTATACGGATACAATTTAAAAAGATATAAAGTGTTAATTGGTGACATCTCAAAGACAGAGTTTTTTTTAACCTTTGGACAGGGCCATGTTAGCTCTTTCCCCCTGTTTACAATCTTAAAGGGATAGTTAAACATTTTGGCAAATTCGCCTATTGCCGTAATCCCTATAGTCATATGAGTAGGTACATTACCTTTAATTGTCAGTGCGTGCTGTTCTGAGATCGGTGGGGCAGAGCTGCCCGCTGAAATGGAGGTTAACGGTACAGGTCCCTCTCTCCCTCAAAACTAATCAAATACACCATCAAATGACTCCAAAACGCTCTTGTGGACAACTTGTAGCTTACACATTCACCACGCTATGAAATAATAATGTAATATTACGAGACAGAGTTGTTTTGAAGCCAAATGCAGAGCCGGAACTACATTCCAGACATACAGTACTTGCTGGGCGGAGTGATTTCAAACAGCGTATGTTTAGTGCAGTTACTCCCGTCATCAAAACAACAAGTTTGTTGAGAAGAAGCCAGAATATACAGAGGAAGTGTTACAGGTTTTGGAAGAAGAGAGAGCAAGAAGAGAGGCTGAGGCTGCCAAGCAACCAGGGGCTGAGGGGAGACCCAGAGCCGGTGGTGTAAATGTGGGGCTTACTGGCCACTTTATTAGGTACACTTGTGCAATATAAATATAGAGTACGCCTCAAAATAATCACCGGAAGACGGGGAGAACATGCTAACTCCACACTCCTAAATCACCACAACTCCTGAAGGAACAACAACATAAAATGTTCCCTAGCTGTCTGTTTATTCCCAACAATGAGAAGTAATGCCAGTCACTTCACTATATGCTCTGGGCAAGCACTTATCCATAACATAACCACAACAACATTTGCATTTTAGCCTTATTTACCATGCTTGGGTTGTAGGCTAATGTTACTCAACATGGAGGTAACATTACAACAGAGGGATTGGTGAACAAAATACATCACGATCACTTACCACTGTCTCAGCTGCGCACTGTGTCACTCCGCCCAGTGGTTTACTCAACAAAGTAGTTCTGAGTATTTGCTTCATGTGTCGTAATGTTACTTAATTGTACATTATTATTTCATAGCGTGGGGAATGCGCAAGCCATGTGTTGTCCACTAGAGCGTTTTGGAGTCATTTGATGGTGTATTTGATTAGTTTTGAGGGAGAGAGGGACCTGTACCGTTCACCTCCATTTCAGCGGGCAGCTCTGCCCCACCAATCTCAGAACAGCAGGCACTGACAATTAAAGGTAATGTACCTACTCATATGACTATAGGGATTACGGCAATAGGCGAATTTGCCAAAATGTTGAACTATCCCTTTAATGTTAAAGCGACAGTTCATCCCAAAATCGGTGAGAGGTGTAAACATTTAACGGTGTCTTCCTCAGCTAAGCTATAAGTGAAGCAAGCTCAGTGGTGCAAGGTCAGCTAGCAGTAGATGCACGCTTCTTTGTGCCCAGTATATTTTGGTAGAAAAAAAAAAGTTCCTACATGAAACTTCTCACAACACAGTCTGTGGATTATCGTGAGTAACCCGGTCATGCTTTCTGGAAAGAGACATTGCTGTTGTACTGTGCCATCTAAATAGTGCTACAGAAAACAGGAAAAATATGTATTTTTGATTTTTGGTTTGAACTGTCCCTTTAAGCTAAGCTAGTAAACTGCAGCTATAGCTTCATGTGTAACAGAGGGATGTGAAAGTGGTGTTGATCTTAGCTTGGCAAGAAAGCAAATCCCATATCCCAAAATACTGAACTATTTTAGTTTTTATTATTTAAATATCAACCTCTCATAAAAAAACACATGCAGCACATGATGTTCTTATCTCAACTATGCACACACCTGTTTGATCTCTGTTTACGGGGATCAGACGACCCTTATTAGGTTAAGATCCCACGATTTTAACATTGTTTTTATTGAACATTTTTAAGTTTTATATAAACAATAAAATAATCATATCATATTGTAAAATAAGGAGAAATTAAAATGACAACAATAAAATTAGTTTGGTTATGCATGGTATCTTCCATATTTTGTTGCGTGGTACATATAATATAACGTCATTTTCACATACATAATCAGTGTGTACTTTATTCAGTACAGACGATTAGAGCATTCCCTTTAACATCCGTAACAATATGCAGTCCACAATCCACATAACCCATAGTCTTTATTTCACATATTTCATCCAGTTACATCATTCTTCTAATTTGTATATTCAAATAAGCACTAGCCGGAGACCAAGCTGGTAATCAAAGCACTCAAGCAAACACAAATCCGCTTGCACATATATTCATATCACATCACGCATGCATGCATACAGCATACACAAACACATACATTCAAAAACAAGTAACATGTACTCAATGGTGGTCCAGTACATTTTAACCCAATTATATTTCCAGGAAGTCAGTCCAGGCTTGCCATGTTTTTACTCTTACATTATATGTAGTCTTTTCTAAGGACATTCAATACTGTGAGTGGCTGGGTGGGTTATCATCAATCCATTTAGACAAGATACATTTTTTCGCTGCTGTCATGGCCAGCCCAAAGAAAGAGACTAGAGTAAGGAGTACCATGTTCAGGACTTTCTTGAGTGTATTTTCTATAGTCTACCACCATTATTCTAACTTTTGCCATGTCCAGGTCACATTTAGGAAGCTTTCAGTCTCAATTTTACATCTGATGCAATGTGGAGATGTGTTGCCTGTGAAACAACTGCTCTTTTCGAAATTGCACATTTTGTATCTTGTGCTAATATAGTCTTTTTGGGCTGCAAGCAATAGGGACTATTGAGTACCAGCTATCTGAATTTCGCCTCTCGTAGCTTTAACAGCATTTCACTTCATCTCTCCAGGTCCACATGTCCTACATCTACCCCAACGACTACACTCGCCTCACACACATGGAGACGGAGAACAGCTGCTTCTACCCAGAAAACCCTTACTACATGAAGATGTAAGACACGATGAATTATAGATCCATATGCAGTAACACTTACTGTGACATTGTATACTAAATGGAATTGCGTACAGATGGATGTTCTCCCACAGTCCAAAGACATGCAGGTTAGGTTAACTGGTGACTTTAAATTGGTATGAGTGTAAGCGTGAATGGTTGTTGTTCAGGATGTACCCCACCTCTTGCCCAGTGTCAGTTGGGTTAGACTTCAGCACCATTGCAACCCTAGACAGGATAAGCAGTTACGTATCATGAATGAATGAATACAGGCAGACAGAGTAGAATTAGAAGTAGGTTTACCGCATCTCCAATAGAGGGTGCTGTACTGCTCAATCTTTTTCACATCAGGAGATGAATGTGTTTTGTTTTTTGACATAGAGAGAAAGAAAGTCCCATTTGAAAACTAATTTGTGAACTTAATGTAACATAAAACCAGTTAAATCCTTCTAAAGCTTTGCATAATTATGTGTTTTATCCTCCTGTTTTCAGGTTCGGTGTCTCTAGATACATGAGATTAGACCGTCCTGATACGTGGGAGACAGAAAACATAGGCAGAGGTATTTTGTACTTCCCTTTTAAAAAAAATATATATATATATCAAACTGTATTGTCTGTTCATAACACTCTACTTTTGTGTTAGGTTTTGGTTTCCAGAGGAGGAAATCAGTGCAAGAGGAGGACGAGTATGACAATGAAGCCTATCGAAGAGAAAAGGCAGTCAGGCAGGACCGGGTGAATAACGGCCTTTTTCCAGACTATGGTGACGATTATGACGATTATATTCAGAGGCGCAGGCGCAAACTCTTCTCCTTAGTCATGCAAGAAACTAACAACACGCGGAAGAACATATCTGAAACAAGACTGCACATAGATGAGTTGCAGAGGATGCAGGGGAAAGACGGTGTCTCAAAGCGAAAGCCACAGAAACCAGCTGAGAGTCTGCAGTCAACACAAACCCCAAAATATCACCTGCAACAGAACAGGACGGAAGTAAGGCTAGAGGGCCAGGTTATAAAAGCAGGACAGGTGAAACCAATGAAACAAAAAGGAAAGTCAAAATCAACAAAGAGAAAAAAGCTCAAATCAGTACAGACCGCTGTGAGACCAGGACAGACAACCCCAGTGATACCAGTGGACAGAGAGCAGTTTAAAGCACTGAAACGACCAGCAGTCGTGCCAGAGCAGCTTAATTCTAAACAGCATAACATCCAGGTGTCCCGTAAAATGAATAATACCCAAATCAAGAGACTTAAGGACTCAAAGATTCAACCCTTAGAGAGAGTCACTCCTCTGCTTGAAAAACCCACAGAGGCCCCGCAGCGAAGGGTTGGAATCAGAGACATGGAGCTCCATCCAGGCGTCCTGGAGCGCCCTGCAGTAAAGCTTAATCAGCGGGACACAGTTACCAGAAAACGCCTCAGGGATAAAGACACAGAGATGAAAATGCCTCTGCAAGATCTGGAAAATAGCATCCACAGAGTAAGGATGGTCACCAAAGGCAAAATACACAAAAGTCAGTGGGACATGGGAGAGGAGAACCAAGCAGGGGAGGAAGATGAAGTTCGCAACAGGGCTGTGAGGCAGAGAGACACCTGGGAGGGTGAGAAAGACAATCTGTGGGGACCAAGGGACGACTTTGAAGGTGCAGATGATGAGGACCTTACCCCCGCACCAGTGTTTGACACTGAGGTCAACTGGAGCCAGACCTTCCAGGTGAGCCAGCTGGACCTTCAGGCAATGCGATCAGATTCCCTCGACCTGCGCTGCAACATCTCAGGCAACCTGCTCCTCGGCTCCAGTGACGCTCTGCCCACGGTCAGGGCTTTCATGGACCAACTCAATGAAAAGCACCACGGGTTAGTACAGTGTTTTATTTATTTACAAGTTTATTTGACAGGGAGTATGGTTGTGCGAGATGGTTGTGCGTGAAAATCCCAGTAGATCAGCAGTTTCTGAAATACTCAGACCAGCCTGTCTGGCACCAGCAACCATGCCATGTTCAAAGTCAGTTAAATCACCTGTCTTCGCCATTCTGATGCTCAGGTTGAACTTCAGCAGGTCGTCTTGACCATGTCTACGTGGCTAAATGCATTGAGTTGCTGCCACATGATTGGCTGATTAGCTATTTCCATTAATGAACAGTTGAACTGGTGTACCTAAGAAAGTGGCTGGTGAGTGTATTTTGTGCCGCTCAAATTTATCTTGGCACCGCTTATTTGGGAGCTACTGACCTTGCTGAAAAATTAATGCTGACATGTCAGTCAAGAAAAAACATCTAGGTGAAAACATCCATTATCCACCCATTAATGGTTTTGCTGTAAGTTTTGAATGAGTACGTCACATTTCAGAACCAGTTACACTTCCAGTATGATTTAATAGCAAGTACAATCATGTGCATCAATTACACCCCAGTGTGAAGCACATTTTACTATGATTTGTTTGGTTCTCTCTGTCCTTGCAGGCGGTTCACGTTGGTGCGCGTGGTTAACGTGGTGAAGCGCGTGGACGGGGTCAAGGGCAGCCGCTACCTTCTGGAGCTGGAGCTGAAAGATGTTGACGGCCAGCTGCTGCGGCTGTCGCACTACATCTACACTCTGATTCGCTACAGCAGGCAGCGCAGCATGGACTTCAATTTCCAACACCAGAAACCTCAGCTGGTGATGTGTAACCCGGTGGGCTTCCGCTGGAATCCTGTCGCCACCGTCCACTTCATAGTACCTGGTACACCTTCCTTTAACCATACTGATTATAGCTGTACGATATAGCTTTTGTGTGTTAGCTTCTGTTTTAACATTCATCATCAAGGTACTCAGGTGTTAAATTTCAGACACATTACACTGTAATTGATGACAGATGACCTCAGTATGTGAGCATTTACTTCTTGGACCAGATCTCCTATAGATACTGACATTAACTGGTGTGTCACAACCACAGACTCTTTGTCAATATTTCATTACTCAAAGAGAGAAAGGGATCCATTATGTAGCCTTCAGTGTGAGTTTTGAGGCTGTATAAAGACTCAGATCTCAGTGGACCCTTTTGAAAAACACTTTTTGGGAGGGATCCATAGCAGCCAGTGTCTGAAATGTGCAGGAATAAAGACAGCACCCTTGGGACGAGATCTTCAGAGTGAAAATTAAAAAAGGAAGGCCAATTGGTTTGCACCCTGGACAATACATCATCTGATATCAGGACTGTTGAATTCAATGTAACACAGTGATAATGGGAATCTGACACTGATGCTCAAATGATAGTGCACAGAAGTCAGAGTCAAGAAATGTGTCGTTGAAATACTTATTTTAGATTAAATTTCCCATAGTATTTTTCTCTGTTAAAGGATACATGTGTGCTGTTCATAATCCTTTACTGTGTGGTTGTTTTTTTAAAACTGCATTGAGACACATGTGTCAGCACACTGATTTGATGCACCCCACCCAAAAAAGAAAATTGAAAACAGCGATTAGTTTCTACATTTTGTCAACATCAGATATATTATTTGACAGTAATTGATGATTACATAATGGGATGATGTCAGTTCTACTAAGTACATTTTTTTCGGGGGGGGGGGGGGGGGGGGGGGGGGGGGGGGGGAGCGTCAATTCAGTGTAATGTTTTCTCCCCGCTTTTCTGTTTAAATAACGGCTCATGTGTCTGTACGATGCTCAGTGAAAAACCAGGCTCGATGGGTGCAGCAGCTGATCACAGATATGGAACAACTCTTCCGAGCAACCAGAGATGCCAACTTCAATCTCATCATCACTGACTACAACAGCACTGACATGGATGTGAGGAAGGCTCTAAAGAAGTCCTCGCTCCCCAGGTGTGTGTGTGTGTGTTTGCTTCACTGTTACACTTAATCTGAACTTTCTAAAGCTCATCACACAAGATATGTATGCACTACAAATAATGCCTGTGGAATTTATCAGGTACCAGTATGTGAAGCTGAGCGGAAACTTTGAGCGCTCTGCTGGTCTGCAGGCGGGCATCAACCTCATAAATGTGAGTACTGCAACATCACTCAGACATGAAGCTTCCAGATAACGGGATGAATGCATTAATAGTAGTTATAATCCATCTCTTTTATTTCTCTCCCCGCTTGTTCTCCCTTAGGATGACCACAGCATTGTGTTTCTTTGTGACCTCCACATCCACTTCCCTCCCTCCATCATCGACACCATCAGGAAGCACTGTGTGGAGGGATACATGGCTTTCGCTCCAATAGTGCTGAGACTGGACTGCGGGGCTACGCCATTGGATGCCAGAGGTAGACACAGATGCACCCATCTTCACTTTATAACCATGGTTCATTTTGAAGGTTGGAAATTTTAATAATTTTAGAATCTTTTTTTAATCAAAATATAATACTAACAAAAATTTAAATTGAATTTGTGAGTTCCCAATAGCCACATACATTTTATCCAATTTCATCTACCATCTTTAATTTCTTTTGTCAAAGTGAGTCAAGCTCCTCTGCACGAAATCTCTGATGGTACACATCCATAACCTACCACTGAACCTAATACTATCTTTTTACTTAATATTTCAGTTTTCCGTTTGCAAATTGTAGCTTAAACTCACTCGAATACGGGGCGTTGGTGGCTTAGTGGTAGAGCAGGCGCCCCATGTACAAGGCTGTTGCTGCAGCGGCCCGGGTTCGACTCCAGCCTGTAGCCCTTTGCTGCATGTCACTCCCTCTTTCTCTCCCCCTTTCACGCTTGTCTGTCCTATCCATTAAAGGCTAAAAAAGCCCCCAAAAAAAAAAAAAAAACTCACTCGAATAACCACATTTTTACATTGAACCTTCCTCTGCATAGGACCACATATATACTACTTACCTTTATATATACTTGCAATGCTTGAGTAAAAGACGATAAAGATTTTCTTTCCAAACATCTGTCTTAAATTTAAATTTAAAATTATCTTAAAAAGCATTAAATTTAAGTGTAGAGCCCCTGCTTTTAATTGAGTGTTCATATAGCAGTAGTTTCGAAATGAATGGTGTTACAGAAAGACTTATTTTGGAAAGATCAGGAGGGCAAATATAGGCACTTATCTGATCTATTTTATAACAGTGTCATAACTGACTCCAAAATATCCCAACTTTTAAGTTCTTGAACTTGACTGAGAAGATGTTGAAGAAATGATTTTAATAGTTGTCCAAGTGAGTGCAGGAATCCTGTTTAAAGTACAGTGAAGAGGGAGATAGACAGCAAAGATTCAAGAGGAAAGACAGTGCTGGCGTTTTGTCTCAGACGGAAAATAATAAAAGGATCCACATGCAGAAAAAAAACATTGGTTGCTTTGGTTTAACCAGATCAGCTGCCATTTAAAGCTTTTTGTTTTGCCTGTACATGCCAGTTTTTGCAGATATAAATGTGACTTACTGTACATTTCCTCACTCTTCTGCATCAAGGCTCCCCTTCTTTTTTCTTTGTGTTACTACTAACCTGTCTTAGGAAGTCTGTTCAGTCTTAAGGAGTCAGTCTTCAGACAAGCAGGATGTGTGACTCCAAAGACGGAGGGATTTTATGTACACAGAAACCTCCAAGCTCATGAATTAAAAGCTTCTTGCCTCCGGCCACACACTCTCAGACAAATACCTGTTTCAGTGAATCGTGGCATCCAGTAATGTTCGGTTGCAACAAGTGGCGGGTGTAGGTCAATAAATATAATGTTTTCTCACCTTGATAAATTATATGATATTTAAACAAAGATGGTGGTCGTGTTAAGTCGCTATAATCAAAAGGATTTTTGCTATTCAGGAGAAGGGTGGACTTTATATTTAAATAAAAATGTGGTCATCCCATCTGTGTTGCAGGTTACTGGGAGGTCAATGGCTTTGGCCTGCTGGGGATCTATAAGTCAGATCTGGACGCAGTGGGAGGAATGAACACCAAGGAATTCAAAGACCGCTGGGGAGGAGAAGACTGGGAGCTCCTGGACAGGTTTGTCCTCACTTTCTTAATGAGTCATGTTGTTTTTAGTCTGTTTCCTATATTTGTATTTTTTGTTTTCATTTAGCTTTACAGAAAAGGAGTTTGAAAAGCATGACGACGAGTACGAGTACTACTCTGTGTGCTGCTGTCACTGACAGTGATAATCCCTCCACATCCCTGCACCGAGTGTGACAAGTCCATGCATGTTCCCAATAGAGTTGTTTAAAATAACCCTGGGACGAGTGGGTAAACCCCGACTGTAGCAGATAGAGACATTACAGAATAGCTGTTGCATAACAGTGTGACAGTAGTTTGTTTTTCACGTCCCTAAAGCAGTGGATTCCAAAGTGGGCGCCTAAAGGGCCGGCAAATGATGCCAAGATTTATTATCTTTTCTTCCACAGAACAGTGAGGTTACACAGAATATACCCTGACATTTCTCCTACTTGTGACAGATACCTTTTAACAAGCGACACTCTACTCTGCAGTTCTGCTCTGTGTCCCAAAGTTAAGACCTGCTGGATCTCTATTTTCAAACTAATATCTATAATATTTCGAATTCAGATAGAACCACAACCACTCATTATTACAGGGTGTCTATAGGTCCTTTAAAAGTCTTAAATTGTCTTAAATTCAGATTCGATGGGTCTTAAATATTTTCGGTCACATTATTTTATCTTATTTGACCCATATTTAACCAGGTAAGTCCTGTTGCGATCAACAAACTCTTTTACAAGGGAGACCTGGCCAAGACAACAGCACACAAAAAGTTACAGCCAAACAACAACACAATAAAAAACATAAAACATACAGTAACATGTAGAAATATTAGAACACCTGCACACAATGGCAAGATCAAATCAAGTGAGAGGAGCAGAGCACATAAAAGCTTTCTTTTCCAGCTCAGTCCGTGCACTAGGAACAGACAGCAAAACTAAATCTTGACAGACTCTAGCACCAATCACATGTTCAATTAAAGTACAAATGTACGAAGGGAGTTTACCCAGTGTGGGTTTAGAAATGAACAAAGACCAGTGACTGAGCCTACGAAATGTCAAAGAAGGCCAATCAGTCCTGGAATAAAGCGCACAGTGATATGTAAGGGCTTTACAATTTGTAACAAATCTCAGTGCACTATGATACACTCCATATTTTGGCCTGTTCGAGTCCCCGTCCAGACCAAAATACGGAGTGTGGACTGGTAGCTGGAGAGGTGCCAGTTCACCTCCTGGGCACTGCCAAGGCGCCCCTGAGCAAGGCACCGAACCCCCCAACTGCTTGGAGCGCCTGTCATGGGCAGCCCCACTCTGACATCTCTCCACTTAGTGCATGTATAGGTCCTGTTTGTGCATGTATGTGTTCGGACCAGTGTGTAATTGACAACAGAGTGAAAAAATTTAATTTCCCTTTGAGGATTAATAAAGTATATTAAATTAAAAAAATTTAAATTGAAAATATGCAGTATGTAACATGTGCAAACAATGTGCAGATGCATTTGTGTACAACAAATCACCATAATCCAAAACCGGTAAAAACATGGCAGCAACCTCAAAGGAGAAACAGGACTTGTTTCTGAAATAAAGCCCTAACTTCAGCCTCAGCTTTTTTAGAAGATTATCAGCTTGAGGTTTAAAAGACAGGAAGTCATCAAGCCAAATACAGAGATATCTGTAACAAGTGACAACCTCTAGCTAAGGTCTAACTAAACCTTAGTTTTATCAGCAACATTACCGCAAACATTTCTCCAGCCTGACGGACCCAATGACTGTTTACAATAGAGTGCCGAAGTCACACCCCTTCCGGTGAAGCTCATGGGACCTTAGATCGGAAAAAATATGAATGGCACTGAATGAGGAGAGAAATATTATCTTTTGTTCCCGTTTGAGTTGTGACATGAAATCCAAATATGTTGTTAATGAATTTAAAACATACATTTTAAGGTCAAGAAAGTCATACTTTGTGGTAAAACTGTTAAGATATAAGCTTTTGAAAAAATGTAATTAGAAAGACTACACAGGAGTGTAGTGACGTCATAGCTTTCGCTTGCTTCCAGCAGCTTGGAGTGACTGCAACCTGGCACAAAACACACAGACATCTTCAATCATAAATCGATTAATCATAAAACAGTGGAATTCCAGCGGGGAGGCCAAGCTGCAGGAAGGAGTCTTTCTAATTAAAAAGCTTATATCTTAACAGTTTTACCACAAAGTATTCTGGCAACAATTAAATCGTAGGCAACTGGACTTTGATTTTGTCTAGAAGACGTTTCGCCTCTTATCCAAGCGGCTTCATCAGTTCTCAACGCATCAGTCTGACTAGTCCTCACTAGTCTGACAAACAGTGGAGTAAGACTCAGGTTTTTAACCTCTGTGGAGGTGTACACCCACCACCCTCATAAGACAATACTTCGTTAGTGGAGTTTCACTGGACCATTGTTTGGGTCAGGTGAGTCACACTAGTGAACGACGGTCGTTAGGAGTGGGTGGGGCCACTGGTGAGCAACAGTCGTTAGGCATGATGTGTGGTTACCAGTGAACGACTGTCGTTGTGTTTCTTTGAGCCACTTGAGGTACAGCAGCAAGGGCCGCATTGTAAATGGGGGATAGGTGGTGTCTCAGGCCACCTCCCCTGTTTAGAGACGGTTTCTCTATTTTAACGTAGATGGATTCTTTCATCCCTTCGTTGAGAACTGATGAAGCTGCTTGGATAAGAGGCGAAACGTCTTCTAGACAAAATCAAAGTCCATTTGCCTACGATTTAATTGTTGCCAGAATGGAATTGACCTGGATAAATGAGAATATCCACAGACTTACCACAAAGTATGACTTTCTTGACCTTAAAATGTATGTTTTAAAATCATTAACAACATATTTAGATTTCATGTCACAACTCAAACGGGACCAAAAGATAATATTGCTCTCCCCATTCACTGCCATTCATATTTTTTCCGATCTAAGGTCCCATGAGCTTCACCGGAAGGGGCGTGACTTCGGCACTCTATCATTGGACAGACTGAATAATGAATAGCATTTATGACAGCGATGAGAGTTTGTTTTCTTTTTACATTACAATACTGTTCATTTTGAACTGACATCAGTGTGTTTAATTGGAAAGAGTACTTAAATTTAACTTGGTTATATCTGTAGACACCCTGTGTTGTTTAAGGAATGTCTGATGATGTCAGAAAGTGAAGCAACACCCAGCAGTGTTTCCTCTCCTATAGTCTCATTATTGCAAAGAAACTGCTCCTTATGCATTGGAAAAAGGAACTTAGTTCCCACTGCAAAGATGTGGCTAAGTGACCTTACGGACACACCTCACTGAGAAAAAATAAGATACACTCTTATGGACAAACTCCCATATTTTGACAAGGTTTGGGCACCTGTCACTCATTGTCTTACTTCTGTGACCTATTGGCATTGTGAGGGAAGGGTAGGGCTAAGGGGGGAGGGGTTGTCCTCTTTTATTTATTATTATGATGATGATTTTTTTCTTGAAGATAGTTTTGGGGCTTTTTGCCATTATTTGATCGGACAGCTATAGTGTGAAAGGGGGAGAAAGAGATGAGGAATGACATGCAGCAAAGGGCCGTGGGTTGGAATCGAACCTGTGTCTACTGCTGCAAGGACACAGCCTTTGCACATGGGGTTAGCTAGTGGGCACCCCACGATTTATTTATTTTTTCCCATTGTATTCTTATTTATTACTGTTCAGTACACTACATTTTCAGAAAAAAGGAAAAAGAGCATATAATGATCCAACTGCATGTATGTGCATTGAAATACAGTACTTGCATATTTATATGGTTACATGTCAACATGCTCAAATAAAACACATTTGATTCAGTTAGGTAACTGCCTGTTTTTAACAACACTTCACAAAAGAATATACCGCATACCTATTAAGCTGAGCTGGACAGCCACAAAAACATTTTTTTGGCATTCATCTCAGCCTGTGAACCTTTTTCGTGGCTGTCCAGCTCAGTTGAATTGGTTAGTAGGTGTTTCTCTTGCCGTCCTTTCCTGGTCTACATTTAACCCAGTAGCATACTTGTTTTTGTAACTGATTTGTTTATGTTCAGTATTTGTGAATCTGCACAGCAGCACTGAAACATTTCACACCTGTTTTGATTGAGCATAGGCCTTATTAAGTTTGGCTTAAAATGTTTGTGACCACAAGTAAATTAATTGCAAGTAATCAAACTCTCCTTTGCTCCTAGGATCCTCCAGGCAGGACTGGAAGTGGAGAGGATCTACTTACGAAACTTCTTCCACCACTATCACTCCAAACGTGGCATGTGGAACCGGCAGGTGTTGCCCAGCCACAGATGACCTTGTGGGCCTGCCTGCTGCACCATGACCACAGTCGCCACGGTTACAACCACGGCAACCAGAGCACTTTAAGGCCGTAGCACGATTCCTGCTACATAACCGTAATAGCTGCTGACTGACAGAGAGGGTGACACAGGATTGGATGCTGTCTCTGTTCACTTCAGCTCTGTGAAAAAAGCAACTCAGTGTTAGCCGTGAGGGTCGTTGCTAAGGAGGTACTACTGATCTGTTTATTTCACTGGATGTACTCATGACTACTGAGAGGGTACTGGCGGATGAGTGCCATTGACTGTGTGATATTTGAAATGAAGATACAGCTGTGCACCATGTCGCTGACTAACACTTTCACAATCTGCACTACTGGCTGCAAGGAACTGACCTGATCCAAAGATAAAACGTAAATACAGTGACTGTGCACACTCCGAGGATCTAGATACAGAAGTGTCCTCTGATATCATAACGATCAGAAGTCTTGCACACGAGTCTTTACTGAAAACGCAAATTGTTTGTCTGTTTGTGACAAAGATATATATGTGTTTGACTGCAGATTGTGTCTATGCTAAACACAGCCTTATTTGTCGTGGTAAATTATAGAAAACTTTATATTTATTTTATCAATATTTGTAGGATTTCATTTGTGGGTTTTTTCATTTGAGTCTGGTGTGTCTAGAAACAGATGATAACATTTCAGAAAAGTGTACCTCAGTTTACCTGTCAAGTGCCCTCCAAGTTTTCTATGTTCCCTTACAGTTTTTTTCTGATTGATTCAGCACTATCTTTTAAACTAAGCCTAATTTTGCAAAACTCCACACACTAACCTCAAAACCTTTCACGAAAGCTGCAAAACATTATACAGCTCTTGCAAAAGCAAACAATTCCTGCAAAACTCCTCAAGCTCTCGTTTGAATAACCACATGAAGCAGCAACTAAACACTGATAGCGAGAGCGAAAAACACTTGTGGCTTTTGCTTTTCCTGTGTGACAGGCAGAGCAGTCTTAACATGCATGTAGTTAACACACATACACAGAGATGTCCAAATGTTTGATGTGTATTCTGAGCACTATCAGTACTAATGGGGAAGAGATTACATTTTTTTTTTCTGAAAATGTTCTTTTTGTTTCATCTAATGATTCAAGATCACATGGTATGGAGCACAAGCATAACACACAATAATAAGAGGACGATGGCACGCGACATAGCGAAAGTACAAATGTTTTTTAAACAAAGGACAGACATTCTTCAAAAAAGTACCTAGGTTAAAAATAACTTTTAGCTTAACTGACTAGTAACGAAATTAATTTAAACATCAGTGAGCGGTTTAATAATACTTTGGCAAATACCTTTCTCTATAATTCATTAAACTTACTTTGTGACAATCAGAAGAAACATGCTACTCATCTCCCCCTACAATTGTCATCGCAGAGGTTGCAGATCATCTGGTTTCTCTCCAGCCCTTTATATCTTTTAGTGACTTCAACAATTGTGATGTTGCCCACTCTTAAATGTACAAATGCCCTGCCTTTACGTTGGGTTTAATGTAACAGATGTTTAAATTGTAATGATGATAATAATGATAATACATTTTGTTGATCTGCGCCTTTCAGAGCATTCAAGGACAAATTACAAGACACAGTTAAAAAACAACAAGCAGCAGTGTATCCATAGATCATAAAATTAAACAATTCTGTAATAAAAGTTAATAAAATGACAAAATCACAATTATAAATATTAGGTAAATATTAGGTATAAAATCATCATCATAAAATCACTATCAGTGCAGGTCACCATATGTGTGTCACCATTAAATCAGACCGAATATGCCAGCTTGAAACTACATACATACTACATAAATATCACATGATGTCATACGTCTGAGCTCAGTCTGCCCTTTTGCATAAACACTCCTTTAATACAGTTGTTCGCAACTGGTGGGTCGCGGTCCAAAAGTGGGTCGTGGATCCATTCTGAATGGACCACAAGTGACTCGCAAATGTGTCAAGTTTGTAAAAAACACACTTTATATTTAAGTACAGTGAATTTCTGGCACAGAGCTTTTATTTTGAAGTGTCGTTTCCTGCTGTAGATTGAGTGAATAATGGACAGCTACTTGACAGAGACAGCAAACTAGCTCAACAGCATGGCCAAACACAAGTATGATGCTGAATATATTAAACTGTGTGGACCTTGAACTAATGACTAAGGAGAAACCTGTACCCCATGGATGGACCAGCTGGGAACCACTACTCTAACACACTCTAAAAGAACAGACAAAATTAGGCTAAATCTCCCCTGCTTTGAGGGTCTAACCATAAGACTGTAGAGCTCAAGCTCTGATTTGTAAGAGAAGTCATTATCTGAGGGCTGCAACTACTATTTTCATTAGAAACTACTCTGCCTGTTATTTTCACAGTAAATCGATTAATTGTTTAGTCAGTAAAATTGTGAATAATACTCATCACATTCTCCCAGAACCCAAAGTGACATCTTCAATTTGCTACTTTTGTCCAACCAACGGTCCAAAAACCCAAAGCCTCTTTATTTACAATCATACATGGCAATGAAAAGCAGCAAAGTCTCACTTTTAAGACACTGGAACCAGAATTTTTTTGCTCAAAAAATTACAGAAACAATTAACTGATTATCAAAATAGTTGCCGATTACTTTTCTTTTCATCAACTAATTGATAAATCATCTAATAGCTGACCCCCAAAGCAGAGAACATGCATTCAGTTTGGCCCACTTGGTGAGCGCTTTGGCTACGAGTGCTAATAGTTTCAGAGATAGTGCTTCAAGAATCACCGATAGTGTGAGAGTATTCAGAAAAAAACTGTAAATATGAAATGTGCCTTCTTTTGTGACTGTTATTCAGGTACTGGGACCACACAACACTGTTTTTACAACTGGACAAGCCTTGAACTGGAAAAAATAATTAGCAAATTTCCATGGCTGTGTTGTTTAGTATGTCGGAGAAGGATTGTCAGTTATATTTGGACAGGTGTGTTTGTGTTGCCCGATGCATCACAGACATTTCTGGCGCATGAATCATAAATGAAATATCAGAAAACTGAAACAATGCATTAATGTGACATTTTCTGGCCGTTCTCCTTACAGTGACGCTTACCAAAGATGTCAGTTTAAAGCTGGCTGACTGTATTCCTCTGAAGAAAAGTTTTTTTTTTTAAAAAAAGAGCAGGATTTGTTTAATGACATGATGTCAGGCTCTTGGAAATGTTGTCTGTGTGAGTGTAGCATTAAGGGACATTTTTACTGTAGTTTTAGTGTAATTTATGTCTGTGCGGACAGCTTATGTTATTTTATTGATCTACCTGCTGAATTTAATTGTTGTTTTTCAAAAGATGAATTGTTTAGATGACTCTCAAAATCAATGTTTTTGGGCTCAGTCTATGAAGTTTCCTGTTCTAACGTTGGGATTATTGTTTTCACTGTCAACAGATAGGAAATACAGTGGATAAGAAATGATCTTGTTTATTTATCAGATTGTTTTTATTGTTATTTAAGACAAAACTAATGGCAGCATTTTTTTCTGATTGCTCACATTCCATTTTAACAAACTTGTGCCTTTCTTATTCTTCTGAATTTGATACACGTTGAACTGTTTCACTTGTTTTTTTAGGACAGTGTGAAATCACAACACCATTCTGGTCTGATGCCAGCCTTTGCTGGTGGTTTTGGTTTGTAACACTGCCAAGAATCAAAGCACTGAAGCTTTTGAAATGTGGTTTCTAGTTTGGTCAGGGTGTTTGATGCTTTCCTCTTTTACTACTCCTTCATCTCTTACTTTGATGTCTTTAGATATACCTCATGTGCTGGGACTTAACCTCTGCCTTACTGTACAGTTCTGTACAAGTCTCTTCTCTCAGGGACATGTTTTCTTTCTCACCGTTTTACACTGCCTTGACAAATCTGAACGAATAAACCTCTCCTGCCTTTCTTTTCATGACATTATGAGTGCTTTTTAATAGTTGTCATATGCTACTTATGTTACAAAAGTAAGGTGCTCTGGCTATAAACTTCATATCTAGTGGGATATATTGGCAGAAATTAAATGTTAAGTAATAAATATGTTTTCTTTAGTGTGTATACCTTCGAACAGGAGTCGGCAACCTTTACTAAAAGGAAAAAAAATCTGGACGGAGCCACAAAGCATATCTGAGCCTTATAATGAAGGTATCTAAAGTAGCCTATCAACATTACTAATGGCTCCAAACAAGCATTCATTTTGTACCACAAGGTGGCGCCTCCCCAGTGGGCTAGTCAAGATTATTTGCTACTTGAACTTTGCAGCGTTGGCAGTGAAAGCAAACAAATCTGTCCACACACTATTAAATTCTCCATTTTCCTTTTCTGAATTTGGAATCCATAGTTAGCACAGCTAAGAAGACTCAGGACGAGCCACCGGCACTGAGATTTACCAGGTCGTAGATGTACGACGCACTTTTAGTTGAAGAAATGTTAAGACATTTTTTTATGGTCAGGTACACAAGTTAGGTTACACATTTTTTGCTATTAGGAAATAACTTAATAATAACTTAAGGTCTAGAACAATGATGGATGGAAATAAAAATGTAAAAAAGATAGCAGCTATTTATTTCCTTTTTATTGACAAACCCATAGGGAGCCACTGTAGAGGTGATAAAGAGCCACATATGGCTCCAGAGCTGCATGTTGCCTACCCCTGCCTTAGAATGATATATATATCTATAAAGGGAGCGGGTCATCGTTCACAGGGATTGCCATGTTGCGCTGCCATGTTTCTACAGTAGCCAAGACAAGCCAAACACATTGCCTGCCGTAGTTGGCTCCCCCTCCATGACAAGCAGTGGCGTAAAACACAGATTTTTTAAACATGAAACTGCTTTGGAGAAGGGGAGACCTGTGCAGATATTCAGCTCCCAGTAAAAACCTCCTGAACAATTAACACTGAGGAAATTCTAACAAGGAAAAGTTTCAGCTGGTCACCCGTAGATGCTACTAAATCAATCCCCCTAATATCTTACGCATGGCTCCTTCAAATAACAAAACACAAACGAGTATAAATAATAAGAGATCTGTTTAAATGCCTCCTTGGCCCCTTCTATATTTGTATTGTCACAATTTTCGGGTTTAACCTTCACATTTTGGTAATTTACATGCTCTGACTACATTCATCACTTTGGTGTCAATGGGACATATGAAACTTTATTGAATATATTTGGATAACCTCAAAAAACCAATGACATTTATGATACTTCACCAGACAAAAGTGTCATGCAAAAACAAAAGTTCCTCAAAGTGGAACAGGGTGTGGTCCTGTGCAAAGTAATATGGTAAATGGAGCTGCGCTTGTATGCTGTCTTTCTAGTCGTCTGACCACTAAAAGCACTTAAACACTACATCACATTCACCCATTCACATGCTGGGTATACAAGGTGTCACATGCTACTTGGCTTAAACATTTGCATGCACTTACACATCGATGGTACAGCCATTTGGAGCAATTCTGGGCTCAGTTGATGCTTTTCAGAGTCAAGGATGGATCCTTAAATGACTGAATTCCAAGGAGGCTGTTGTGGAAATTTTATTTAATCCCAGCATAAGACTGTTCCAATGTCAGTGATCCTTCGGATTCTATCTAGGACCAAGTCCTTCCTTCAGAGAATTTCCAAGAATGCATGTGAGGGCATGACATGCAGCAAAGGGCCTGGGGCTAGAGTCAAACCCACAGCCACTGCGGTAAGGACATAGCTTTTGTACATGGGACGTCCGCTCTACCCGCTGAGCTACAAGGCGCCCCTAGAAAGGCATCTTTCTTAGAATTTGAACAACCAGATTTAGAAGAACCAATCTCCTGATCAGTGGATGATCTGCTCTACAGCCTTGCAAAAGACAGCTTGAATTTTGACCACCAAGTTTGAGCAGCTTTTCACAGATTTTTATTCAGCTTTGAACTGCAGCATTTACAGCTGATACAAAGGTTGAAGTATTCTCTCTTCCTTTGTGGTGTTAGCTCAAGGTCTGTGCAGATGTCTTTGTTAAAAAAAGGTGTGGTTTTGAGAGATGTCTGTTACACCTTCAGCATACACGGGTATCACCTTACATTTAGCGGCGTCACAACACCACACAGACAATGGCACAACAAAGGACATTATCTTAACAGGACAATTAAAGAGAAACACAAGTCTGTGTGTGATGCACAAGGACCATTTTAAGCTTTTACAGTGGTGATGAAAATGCCCCACACAGTAGGAACAACAGTCTGACTGTACACTGGCATCCACACAGGCACATGCTGTATTTTCACAGATGCTCATGAGTGCTCATAAATTCCTTAGAGGCTGCCGACTCCATCTTGTCACCCCTCCATCATCTTACTGACACTCTTTGATGTCACTCCAAGGACGGCTATGAGCATGCGTCGAAGGTGTTTACTGTTTATTATCGGAGAGGAATTCATTCCAGTCAGAGAGGAAAGGCTATGTATATCCTGGCTCTGACATAAAATATGCTTTGTCACTGTAAGTCAACGGCATAGCAAAGTAGAGACACACAAAAAACAGCTATGATACCCTTCATGACTGTGTCAAAGGACAATGTCAAGTCTGTTGCTGTACCTGAAGGCATCTTAACAACATCTAGAAACAACTGGCTGGAGAAATGATCTATGCTGCAGTATTATATGAGCAGACACTACACTTTGTTACTGCATTTTACGCAAGGCCGTCGCCATGAAGTCAACGTTGGGGCAGATCAAATCTCCTGAGGGGGTCAGCTGACCCCCCCCAGAAAAAAAGTCAAAATTTGAAAACCCACTTCCTATTATATTATTTCTTTATGTACAAGCACAGCTTTACAGTATACCTTACAAATATAACATAATAAGACACTAACATTATGGCTATGTGAGCCGTGCTGTGCTGGAGTATGGCAACACCACTTGGACAAACTCTAGCAGAAATGCAGCACACTGTAATGCTAGAACCAATATCAGTAATTATGGTTATTTTTTAAGTTTATTTAAAATTATGATTACATTTTCTAATGATTATTTTAGTCAGCAGATTGTGGTTTCCTGTCACAGAAAAAAAAAAATGTATTCTTATTTTTATCAGTATATTGACGGGGCATTTGAATACTGATATGTTCGCTTCACATCTAGTGTGAATATGCGTAAGTGAAAGAAAGAAGAGGCAATATGTACAAATTTATTGTATTCTTTTACATAACAGCGTCATCAGGCAGTAATATACTGAGTATTCACAACGCTATTTTACAAATGGTCGACTTGAGAACAAAATAAAAACCTACAGTGACTTTAGAGTCATGTGTATAATTACACTAATGCCAAAACAAGGGCAGCAATTTTTGTTACATTATGTATTCATTTTTTATGTATTATACCAATTTCCATTTGATTCTTACTCTCTATCGTCATGCATCGAACATCTTCTTCCTGCCCTCCATACCAGACATGGCCTCAACGTTCTTACGCCAGTCACCCACCTCCAAGTTCAGCTCCTAATGTATCACAACACACACATACAGAACATCAGGTTTTTGTTTTTTACTTTCAAAGATTTTGCATCTGTCTGCTCGAGTAGCCATACCTTCTCTTGTTTGATGTCCTCTTTCTTCACAGACTTGAGGTTTGCCCTCAGGTCCATGGAGCCCTTGTTTTTGGATCCAAAGAGAGCTTTCAGCATCTCGTCTGCCGACACTCTCACCTTCCTCAGAGCGGGCTTCTTGAACTTCCCTCCGAGGTCCCGCACCTTTAGGTTCAATTCGTGGATCTAGAGATTAAAAAAAAAAAAAAAAAAAAAAAAAAAAAGCTTAGCTGGTGACTTGTTGTCAGTAAGGCACTCTTTCTCTTGATGTACTTCTGTTTCAATGTTTTTCATGTAAATTTTCTGCGTCATGGTGCACGACATACATCTCTGTTGTTCTTGATGACTTTGGCCTCACAGTCGTACCGCTCCTCATCCACTATATCAATCTTTTCATGAATCTGCTTACAGAGTTTCTACAAAACAACAGCAAACGAATATACATACTGTTCTTTAAGTACACAAGCAAGTCACATGAATATTGTTTTTACATGATCAGTCTTGTATGGTTATTCTTAAGGCCATAACCCGTCTCACATGCAGGTCATCCATGTCTAAGCCAACGAGTTGCAGCGGTGGAAGCTTCTCTCCCAGGTAGCGGACCTTCTCCTCCTCTCTTGCAGCCTTCTCTGCCTCCAGCTGTTCTGTTGCACGAGTCAGCAAGAGGATCTGGAAGAGTCAGAGTCAACACGGAGAGAAGTATGGGACATTTTGGCATTTTCCATTTTGGCTGTTACATGAAAAATCATATAATAATACACTGGTGTAAAGTTTGTAAGGTAATGAGTTTACCTTCAACGACAGCTTGCGGGAGGCTGAAATCTTGCATTTGGGCTGAAAATAATACAAACACTATTATACCATCATGACATCATTATACCTAATCATTCAGCTATAATGATGCAATTTATGTATACATTTTGATAGATAAATTGTACATTTGTTACTTGCAAAGGTTAAAATATGTTCCTAGTTTGGTATAGTCACTGGTACCACTTTTTAAAAAGGCTGCTCAGTCAGTTATGTGACTTGACAATGTTATTTTGACTCACTATGTACCTTGGCATCTCACCAGACAGCCGCAATATACAATTCAAGTACTTAGCCATGAAGAGTTATTTTTTTTCCTGTTTTAGTGCCTCTATGTTATGTCATCAAAATGTCTCCTTACCCTGCAAATGTATCAATACATTTGCCCTCATGACACTGAACAAAGCAGCACTACAGGCTTTAGTTTACTTGACATTTACAATAGGAATATATGCACCTCAAAACTTGCTAAAATCAATGACACACACCTTTTAGAGCTGAAATCATTTGTGAGGAGGTCAGAGTTTAATCATTAGCATCGTTGTTTCTTTAGGAAATAGTTATTTGTGAGTCAGTGTCAATGTAATACAGTAAACATTATAGTTAACATGATAATATACATCTTGTGATACGACCCATTTGCTTTGTTGTTATCTTCCAGGGAAGCTGTTAAGCTGAGTGAAAAGATTCAGTCATTCAAACATGCAAACTCTTAACGACAGGTTAGCACAATGGAATTATTATTCATAAACACATTGTCACTTCAAATAAGTATTACTACCTTTGCCTCCGCCTTGGGGGCCATGGGGGCTGCCGCATACTGAGGAGAAAGCAAAAAAGACAAGGAATTTCATCATCAAACTCAAACTGTTTCCCCAGCTATATATGAGATAGGTAAGACATGCAGACTGTAACTTACATCACTGTGATGGCCATGTGGAATTGGTTGGACCAGGGAAATCAGAACAAGCAAACAGAAGACAGTGTTATCAGTCTGAGACAAAAAAAAATGTTTCACATGCCAATCAAACACTGAAAAATAGCCTACTGAAAACAAAAATACTGTTAAAATACTTTAAAGCTGTGTGATTACAGAACTTACTCTTCAAACATTGTTGCACCTTTGAGACAGAAACAAATAGGATGCTGTTAGATTTGAAATGAAAATAAAAATAGTCCAGTGATAAACAGAGAATAACACCTCCTGTTCAACAGTAAGAAATCAGAGTGGCCCCCAGTTGGCTTTTACAAGGGGACTCATGCACCAAAGATTTACTGTGGAGAAGATGACTCACTCAGCTTGATCTTCTGGTTTAAAAAAAAAGTGAAAGTTGACCTCCTTGCCTAGCAGGGAAATGACTGACGCCCAGCTTCTTCCTGTCTCTTTGAAGCTGCGTGTGTGATCCTAATATTCATTTTCATATCCCTGTGCAACTTTTCCCTTTAAGTTAACACTTCCTATTGGCAACTTCACTAAGACAGTGAGTGTAACAGCACAATCACAGTCTGATTTCATAAAAATTTGGTTTGATTTTTTTTTTTTAATTATCATCAAATCCTGTTCATCACAAAAACGCAACATTTACCTCTGAATGTCATTAGTTTTATCCAGGAAAGTCTTAAATGTTATGTTGGTGTCGGGGCATCTGTGGTACCTTGAAATCAGGATGTAGTGAGACGTCTTCTCTGTTTCTCACCACTATGATATCTGGCCTTGTGACACCGCCCACCCCTCAGTCAGGAATTAATAGTCGGTCACTGGGATTAACAGGAAACCTCTGCTTGTTAACTCAACAACTCTGTACTGACTGACATTATTATCACCTCTTTTGGAAAGGATGATGTCATTATCTGAAACTTAAAGCATTTCCCTGCTGGGCATTTGAATCCTGGACGCTGTCATCTGAGAGGAACAACAGGAAACATGTGTGAAATATTGTACCATAATTAATACAATGTTGTATCTGTGCATACAACACATTGTGAACATGTTGTCATGTCTACAAACATGAGACCCTATAGCCAGAGGCAGGAGTGACTCATTGTTTTGCAGGTCACGAGTGACTCTCAAGTTTTTGCACCCAAGTTCCAAGTCAAGACTGAGAAGTCTCAAATCAAGACTGAGGAGTCCCGAGGCAAGACTGACAACTCCCAAGGCAGGTTCCAAATCAAGACTGACAAGTCCAAATTAAAGACCAGGCAAGTCTTGTGTCAAGTTCCAAGTCAAGAGTGACAAGTCTCAAGTCAAGACTTAGGAATCCCAAGTCAAGTCCTGGGTCAATACGTCCCAGTTGCAAGGCAAGTTCTAAGTCAAGATGGACAAGTCCAAAGTCAAGACAGGCTAGTTCCAAGTCAAGTTTCAAGTCAATGCTGACAAATCTCAAGTCAAGACTGAGGAGTCCCAAGTCAAGTCCCAAGTCAAGATTAACAAATCCTAAGGCAAGTTCCGAGTCAAGACTGACAAATCCCAAGGCAAGTTCTGAGTCAAGACTGACAAGTCCAAAGTCAAGACAGGCAAGTACTGAGTCAAGTTCCAACTCAACACCAACAAGTCTCAAGTCAAGTTTGAGGAGTCCTGAGACAAGTCCTGAGTCAAGACTGACAAGTCCAAAGTCAAGACTGATAAGTCCCCTATTCAAGTCCCCTTTTGAGGGGTTTCGAGTTCTAAACAAGTCATAATTTGCTCTGCCAGAGTGCCCTGGGGTGACTTTTTTTTCTGTAACATCGCTATGGTTCCATCGTCAAAAAACCAAAGGGACTTTTTCATTTGATTATGGATTATTGCTGTAAACAAGTTTTGGGGCGAACAACTGTTTATGATACTTACACGTTTTGTTCAGCAAGATAATCTTCAAAAATGAACACCACTTTCATGATCATTGAAGCCCAAATGCAGTCATCAGAAGTAAAAAAGGAAACGTTAGGGTATAAATGAACTACACTACGGTTGCATGACGGTGACTCAGCGTGATAACGTTCTGTAGTCTCATTTTAGCCACTTGTTAGCAGCCACCTTTTTAAGACAAGCTCCACACATGTTCACACGTGTGGTATTTGCTGATGTATTTTATGTCATATAACAAACGTGAAAGTCTCTTGCGCTTGTGTGAACCACAGACCTTGTTTCAGACATGTAACCAAAAAAGGCATTCAAAAAAACCCACTGACTTGGAGACGAGAGAACTGTGAGTGGTATATGAAATTTACAAAAATAATGAATGCTTTTTAAAATTTGTACTTGTTTGTTTTTTTAATTAACAGTCAGTAAAATACTGTCAGTTTAGGTTCTCTCCTGTGGCTTGATTGGATGCTGTTGGATTGGTTCAAACAAAATGGATCTTCTGGGAGAATTAAGTGTCAACTTGCTGGTAATGAATAGCACTAATGTTAGCTGATTCAGAAAATGAAGGAAAAATAAAGTGATTTGTGGCACACTTTGTAAATGAGATACTTTTTAAACTTTGGGCTTTGGGGAAAGTACAAAGTATTTTCAAGTCAAAAGGCCATTGCAGTCACAAGTCATTGATGTTAAATCAAGTCTAAAGTCATCAAATTTATGACTTGAGTCTGAGTTTGAGTCTTGTGATTTGAATCCACACCTCTGCTTATAGCCCTACATTTTTATATACATATATATTTATACTTTATGTCTGCATGGAAAGACAAGAACAGATATGATCTTTTTTGTTGTGTTGCACCACAGCAGAGGTCACGTTGCTATATTCAATAACCTTTCTGGTGCTATGTCTGTCATCCACACAATGCTGCACACCCACTTGTCATTAGTCTATTAAACACATGGGTTAACCTGTTAGGGGTTCAGGGTGCAAAAAAAGTTTCCAACAAGCACATAGCACACGATTCATGATCTGGGAACAAAGAATTTCTGTACCAAATTTTGTGTGAATCCATGCAGTATTTGTTGAGATATTCTATAGGATAAGAGACAATTTTTAACCTATTGGTGTCCCATCTGCTGAATATGTTTTTTGAACACCTGTATCCTAGAATTGACATTGTGTATCTGATATACAATGTGCTATAAGTGAGGCCAAGAAAACAAAGAGGCATCAAGTGATGGATGTGCGTCTAGAATGAATTCTTATACTGACACGCAGACTTGAACGACAACATCAAATGTTCAGCCTGCAACACTGACTCATTCCTTGCACCTGTATGCTGCATTCAGGGTCACAGACAGGTTGGAGTCCCAGCATGCACTTATAGGGGAAGGCAGGCTCTGTTCCAGTTCACCTGAATTATGTTTGTCTTGGGACTGTGGGAACAAACACCACAGCTGAGATTCAAACCAAGAACATTTTCTTTCGTGACAGGTGACAGCGCTATTCACAAAACCAATAATTCTCTTATTTCCAACAGGATGTTTACAGGTTTAGGTCGGATTACCAGGAAAGTATGTCATGAATGTTTGCACTGTCATCACTACATTCCCATGCACGAGGTTAAATCCCTTTGAGTCATAGCCTGTGTGTGCTTTGTGGCATGATTAAAATGTGTATACAACGCAAAAAGAAAATACTGGTTTGATGTTTATTGTATCCTTTTCGTCTTTATGGGACACAGTTGAAGTGTTGACCTTGATGTTGTCAGCCCTCTCTGACATGCTTCATTTCTGTGGGAGTGATGATATGTTTTGTGGGCCAACGTGAACAAAAGTATGCTGTGTTTTAAATAGATGCAAGTTCAGTGTAGTCCTTAAATGCACGAGACAGCATGCAACTTTCACACGTTATCTATTTTGGGATCAACAACTCCCTTGTCATCTCCTTGTCCCTTTTTTTTCGTATTGTAATGGGCAAGGGAATAGTAATGTTAAAAAGCTATCTAAGGAAAAATGTAACCTTTAAAATGGGCAGAGGTGAGAGGAGGTCTTTATATTAAGATAACACATACAGATGGTCATACATGTGTAACCTAATCCTGTGATGTGACTCCCTCTTTGTAGTTCCAGGGATGGCACAGACATTTGTCTTCATAGATACACACTGACCAAAAATACCAACCTATGCTATGGTCTGACTTCCTCCCACTGGACAGAGGTGACAAGCTGTGGGCTTTGTGATTTAATTCAGACAAATCCACCTGGCACACGGCTCAACACTGAAGTATTTATCGACAAATATGCCTCAGCTAACACCTCTTCAGAGAGCACTGTTGTAATAAGAAAAAAATAGTTTTTTTCTAGGATGTTTAGATCTATAATTACTGTCTGAGTCCATCCAAATGCACACATTTATTTGGGATGTCTATAAGCCAATCACAGTATTCCACATAATCTAAAATGGACTACAGTAGGACCATGCCCCCTTTTTAATAAACATGGCCGATAGTGAGGCGAGCAGGAAGCAAGACATGTTCCAGTGTATTCATCATAGTTACACATATTTTTAAAGTAAGCATGAAATGTTATATTACTTACATGTCAAAAAAAAATCACATGAAACCTTTAGAGCTTCCCCTCTGGATTAAAAATAAAAAAAAAATCTCCAGTAGAATGAACAGTGGATCTGAGTGTCATCAGAAAAAAATGAATAGAGGAAATATAGTTTTAGTAGTGAAATACTGTTCTGATTTGATTTTCTAACGATACAATCAGCCTATAATGCATCCTATTGTTTATGTACACAGAATATTCATCTCAGGAGGTTTTCAACATACTGTTTTCTGGAGATGCTTTAGAAATGGAGGATATTCTGAGTAATGATAACAAAGGAAACACGTATATGCAGTATGTTTTAAAGCATCACTTTATTCATTGACTAACCATTCAGAAAAAATGAATAAACTCTTTTTAAACTCATTTTTTGTTTGTTAAGACCATCTATTTATTATAATTTGTAATATAATAATAATACTAATACTAATACCACTAATAATGACAATAATAATAATAATAATAATCAAAAAGCACAATTCATGCATAAAATGCAACACAGAGTGCTGAACACAAAAGACAATCATGACATTTGTGATAGAGAAAAGATGATAAAAACATAAGATAAAATGAAATAAATAAAATAAAAGAACATAAAATAAAGCAAAAAAAAAAAAATAACATGAAATAAAATAAAATAAAGGAAAGGAAAATAAAATAAAATAATAATCATCATCATCATCATGAAAAAATAAAAGATAGGGTAAAATTCAGTTGAAACTACGAGCTAATATTAGATAAAACACATAGGCCTAATAAAGTATCCTAATCAAAAATACTTTTGCTAATGATATTTAAGTGCACTAAGAGTACAAATCCGCTAAAATATATTTGTGTATGCTGAACATGTATACATATAACATAACCCAACATAACTGGGTTCTGAACGGGTTAGGTTTATGATAAAAGGTAAGTGTTTGCTTCTCCCAACCAGTGCCATCACCTGGAGGATAGCACTGGTTGGGAGAAGCAAACAACCAACCAACCAGTGCCATCACCTGGAGGATGAAGAGGGACCAGATTGTTATTTTACGCATGTCCAAGGCAAACCCTAATGTTGCCTTTAGGTAATTCAGGAATACTGTCAGTGTGTGAGTACGTAGCTACATAAAATACAGTGAAACAGACCCAAAATCTACCCTTGGTATTTATTGTATTCATACGTATATATACTGTAATGTCTCCAGTAAGAGTTGCTGTTAAAACGTTTTTATTTTCTAGCCCGAGGAACATTAGTACAGCGTTTTATAGTGAAGCACGAGTGTACGAGGTGTACCTGAAGGCAGCACACGCTATGAAAACTCATTCATCACGAGCTGTATCCTTATCAAGCTGAAGCTAGCCGTTAGCTCCGCGCGCTAACTAGAGATATGTGTTGCAAACGATAAGTCGGTTGTAGCGTCACCCGTCACCCGTGCAGCTGTATCTATCTAGCCGTAATACCAGCTGATAAATATTTCTACCTTGTACGACACTTTCCTGCCTGCTGTACTGGGAACTGAACGTCTCGTGTTATGGGAGATACACGGAGGTCAGACGAGCTGTGGGCTGTCAACAGTAAAAATGTCCGAGTAAAACGAGCCCACCGCCGCTTTGACAGCTGTTTGTTGATATTGTAGCACTGGTAAGGACGATACTGTTTGCACTGGCAGTTAACAATGTAATATAGTTGTTACATAGTTGTTGGCTCTGCAGTACGTGTGTAAAAACATGGCCGATCAGGTAACGTTGGCGCTAAGGGGATTGACTGCAATGCAGTTAACCTAAGTGGCTTTTCTTGCTAGCTTTGCTCTGCTAACATAATCTAGCTAACTGACAGTTGCTGTCGTGTTCACAGACTTTGTACCAAGTCGATAAGGTATTTAGAGCTAAGCTAGGGGCGTTGCATTCTAGTTTAGCTGGGGGAAGCTAGCTAATTAGCAAATAAACATGTAAGTTACATAGTGGAAGAGGCTCTCCACACTGTCAACAACATATGTCCATGTAGTTAAGTGGCCCCCTGTTCAGTTTACACTGTTGTGACAGCAGCGTGGATTACTGCAGGTGTCAGTTGAAAAGCCATTGATGCATTTATCACTAATAATATTTGTACACAGATCAACTTGAAAGTGAATCATGCCTGGGAAACTGAAGGCCAAAATTGTGGCAGGTCGCCACTTGCCTGTGATGGACAGAGCCAGTGATCTTACTGATGCTTTTGTAGAGGTGAGTGAAGCTTGAGGACCAAGACTTGTTTTTTCCTTTACTGAAACCATTCACATCTGTAATAACAGCTCATGTTTTGCATTTCAATACAGTTGGTGCATCATCATTGCTAATAGTGATTGAGGCAGTAAAAGATGTGTCTTGTGCCTTTTATTTCCCAGGTTAAGTTTGGAAACACAACTTTCAAAACCGATGTCTGTCCCAAATCCCTCAATCCTCAGTGGAACTCCGAGTGGTTCAAATTTGAGGTAAAAGGCCTGTGAGCTTCTCTTTAAACATCACAGCCTGTGGTATTATTATTTTAACACATCACACAATGTGGATGAATTGCAATAATTTTCAGCATTTCTATCCTCTTATCTCTGCTCCCTTCTGTCATCCTTTCCTTTCCTATCACTGTGTAGGTTGACGATGAGGACTTGCAGGATGAGCCATTGCAGGTCACAGTGTTGGACCACGACACTTACAGTGCTAACGATGCCATAGGGAAAGTTTACATTGATATTGACCCGCTGCTGTGCAGTGAGGCTGCCTCTGTCATCTCTGGCTGGTTTCCCATCTATGATACAATCCACGGTACAAAAATAGGCCAATCTGACCATGATAATTGCACAGTTTTTTCTCTTATGAACTATTCCTTTTCCTTATTATACTGTATATATCTCTTTATTTTTGTCTTAAGGTATCCGAGGGGAGATCAATGTCCTCGTCAAAGTGGAGCTTTTCAACGATTTGAACCGCTTCAGACAGTCATCCTGCGGGGTCAAGTTCTTCTGTAGTATGTCTGACTTGTTTTTTTTCTTCACAATTGTTTGTTACAGTTTAAAAATACATAATAAGACAAACTTTGGGTGTATAAAATGTTGACTGACAGTATAAAGGGCAGTTACCTGAGAGGATGTTTCATTTGAGGACATTATAATTATGATATTTTAGGCACAAAGTTCATACTCTTATTCAGTGTTAATAATGAGTGCGCCAGCAAAAAATGTGTCATTTCCAAGATTAGTAAAATTACAAACTGCATCAGTGTTAACAGTGTATTTTTAAATAAAGAATTGCCACTTAAGAATATGTGCTAAAAGGGGAATGACGACTGTAAAGAAGTTTCCCATTTATTCTAAAATCCATTTACTCTATGTGGTGTTTGTCTCATTGTGTATCCTAGCCACATCCATTCCACGGTGCTACAGAGCAGTGATGGTGCACGGGTTTGTGGAGGAACTTGTGGTGAATGAAGATCCAGAGTACCAGTGGATCGACCGTATAAGAACTCCTCGGGCTTCTAATGAGGCCCGTCAAAGGCTCATCTCTCTTATGTCTGGTAAGAAAATTCCCAGTGATCCCCTTTTCATGTTGGTGTGGCGGAGGTGGAATTTGTTCCTCCCTGTTCGCCCTCTTTCTTGTTAATGTGGCTGTGTGTTATTCCCACTTTAGGAGAGCTGCAGAGGAAAATAGGGCTTAAGGTACTGGAGATGGGTGGGAATGCTGTGGTGGGCTACCTGCAGTGTTTTGACCTGGAGGGAGAGTCTGGCTTGGTGGTCCGGGCCATAGGTACTGCCTGCACACTGGACAAACTCAGCTCTGGAAGTGCCCCCGGCACCAACACGCATGTTCACCCTAACACAGCCCCTGCTTCCAATGCCTGCAATTCCCCTTCTAAGGATGGAAAGGAGTGAGTATGAACCAACAACACAAGCATGGACTCTGGCTCTTTTTATGTGCAAGTTTCACTGCAAATCTAGTTTGTGAGACTGAGGAGAGATGAGCAGTGTGTGCATGAGAGGGGAGAGCGTGTGGACAAATGTACTGGATGTTAGCCTGTGTATAGTCTAGCAGTTACTCCTGTGTGTGTCTCAGAATCTTTGATTCCCCTCTGTAGTTTGTGTCTATTGTGTCATGTGTATTGCATTATGAAACTAACAGCACACAACATATCCTGAGACACACACATGTACAGTACACACACAGCCATCCTCAACCCCCCTCCTCCCTTGTCTGCTCTTTTAGACCGCTCTTGCATGGCTTTCTGCTCTGCCTCTGCATGTTCTAGCGCTGCGTCTTTTAGTGAGTATCACATGTGTTTTGCTCAGCCTCTAACAATGTGCAACTTCACTTTGTTCTGTGTCCTCACCCTGGCTATTGAGTGGTTAGCTTGTGATTTCATCCAATTGCTGTAGGCATAACTATAGCTGAGTGCATGTGTGCCTCTTTTTTGCATTTATATACTGTATCTGTGCATCAGTGCGTGTGAGATTGTGTGTTTCAGGGATGTGAACAACTTTTAGTGATTGTGTAATAGTTCCACCTGCTCCACAACTTTCTGTCGATGGTGGTTGTTTAGAGACATTTTAAAAGTGTTTCTACAGGTTAGTTTGTCCCTGTGCCTGTTTGGGCCTTTTAAATCTCCATAAACAAATATCGGCATATGAATGCAGAATCAATGCAACAGGGGAAGAATTTTGTATAGGAAGTGTTATGGCTTCCTCATGTTGTCTGAGTGGTATTGAGAAATCACATTTGAATGGGCTTTGGCTGTATGCGGGTAAACAGTTTGTACTAGAGCAAAAGAGGAGGAACACACTGGCTATGGTCTGACAACAATTTAGCTTTACATCAGCTTATTTTATAATTAATCTACATTCATATGCAGATATCTTTTAATAGAGAGAAGTCATCTGTTAACTCCAACTCCATTCTTGAGTCTCAATTTTCTAAATGGACTGTAAACAAAAATAACCCAGCACACAGAAGACGTAGTTTTGGCCTGGATATCTGTTATCCTGATATCCATTGGCTCGGACTGGGCAGTATATTACTATTGTGATATGAGAGTAGATATTGTTGTAGATTTTGATTATTGAAATATTGCACGTGTTAAGTTTTCCTGGTTTTAAATGCTGCATTACAATAGCTGTTTTAAAACTAGCTGTTTTATTGTTTGCCTTTACTTACTTAGTCATTATATCCACATTATTGATGATTGTTTGTGAATATTTTGTGAAAGCACCAATAAAATATGATGACACTGGATTTTCTCCATGTCACCCAGCTGTAGTTTTGCCCCTAGTGGCTAGATATCGATAGCTGCTGGGTTCAGAGATTGGGTCCTTTGTCACATTTTTCTGTCGTGTTTGCCTCCCTGTTGTGCATGTCTGTGTGAGATCTTTAGCTGAGAGCTATGCATGAGTTTCCTGCTGCTTTCACACGGCTTTAAAAGGAATAACCAGAGCATAGAGAGGGAGTAAAAAACTTCTTTTCCTTTTTTGTCTCCTTTTACACTCTATTGCAATGTTGTGGTGTTGGTTCTTGTGTGCGTCTCTTTCTCCCTCTCTGGCTCTCTGGCTACATTCGGATTGGGACGTTTCTCACTGCTTGTGTCCAAATCGATCCTCTGTCTTCCTCCCTCTACGTGCTGATTGGCCCAGGTCTCCCCTTGCCCACGGATGCCGCTCCACCCACAACAGCCCAGTGCATTCGGCCTGCAGCTCCCAGAGACTGTCCCAGAACTTCTCTGTCTCTGTTCCCACACTCATCTTCACTGGTACGCAGAGGCAGGGAAGGAAATAGCTACAAGAGGAAGAGACGAAGTTTGAAATGCAAAGAGAAGTTTATATATAGAAGGAGAAAAATTAATATATTTTTGCTGTAGTCTGGGAGGTTGACGGCCACATAGTAGCAAGAAAGCCTTTGTGTAGACAGAGGCATCGAGACAAAGAAGGAAGGCAGACCCTTGTATGTCTGTCAGAGAAAGTCCAGATGTTGATACTAGCCTCAAATCCTTCCACCTGTCACATCGTTTTCCAGTGATAGAGTGTGGACAGTCAGGTTCCCAGTTGCATCCTTCTGCAAGGGCTTGTGATCTCTCTACAGTCACCTGACCTTTTTTTCCACTCTCCTGGGACACATGCTTCAGCTCGTCATCCTCTGTTGAATTTGACCTTCTTGTGTTTTGCCATGTTGCTTTCCTTAGTTTATTGTGTGCGTGTGTGTGCATTTCATTTGTGTTTATCTAATTTTTGCTTTTCACGCTTGCTTTTTTTGTTCTCCTGCCATCGTAGCACCTCAAACACACCTCACCCAAAGCAAACATATCACACTTTAAAACAGTCACCTTCCCACTTAATGGAAACACTGACCCACTCCCATATATTTACACACACACACACACACGCTCAGAGGGTGAGGTGGTGACTGATGTGGGGGTGTGTGTGTGTGTCATGTTCTCCTGGCAGGCCGGTATTTGGTGAGGACCTGATCTCGTCCTCCGGCCCGCCAACCCCTTTCAGAGCCCTTCCCACCACCTCCTCCTCTCCTCCCCCCTTCTCTCCCTCCAAGCCATGCAGCCGCCAGTCCTCATCATCAGACACAGACCTCAGTTTGACGCCCAAGACGGGTAAGAACACTTGGCCCCCTCCACCTCTCCCACTCTCACCCCTCCCTTCTCCCTCACCTCATTGTGGTGCTACTCTGGTGGTGGTTTTTTATTTATTTATTTTTTTAAATATATTTTTTTTACATTTTTTCATGGTTGAGTTTAACATTGTTTTATCGTAAATGCTATTCTAAATATTTGTTATGCCATGTCCCATCCTCCCTGTTGTCCTCAGTGGCCTGGTGTGTCTTCTTTTTTCCCATTGTAGGAAAAAAGATATTCAAATTTAGTTTGTACAAAACATGGCTAATTGTGTGAAGACACACCAGATCTCTGTATTAGTTTTGTCCCTGTTGTTGCTTTCTGTAATAGAAGCATTGTGTCTCATGAGGGGCTGTTGTCGATCTAAGGTCAGTTCTTCATTAGCAGCCATTATGGTTAATCATTGAAGAAAAGGTAAGTTTAGTCAAACTCTGCCCCCAAGATAACTTGTGCACATTTTAACGCAGTTCAGGTATAAACACTTTAAAGCCTGAAAACCCTTCTTAACCAGAGCAGCTCTCCTGACCCCTCAGAAAGGGACCAGCAGTTCTCCAAGCCACTCCTCCTTGTTCTCACTCCTCTACTTTTCTTTTTCATATTTTCCCTTCTCTCTTATATATTTCTGATATTCTGCTTTCATGCTTCCATTTTTGCTCCTTTTCCTTCTCTCACTCAGTTGTGGTAACATGCCCTCCATATACTTTGCATACTTCCTTTCTATAGCTCAGTCCAAACCTCTGAATTAACTTCCACATCTCCAATTTGTCCTGCAATTCAAATGAGTCTGGTGTTGTGCCCACTGATATTTTCACACTATTCAGAGAAACAATCAATCAATCAAAACTATGAAGGTGTTATGTTTTTGCACAGCTTGCTAGCTTCATTCATTAAAAATAGCTGCAAACATGGATGAGATAGAAGCAGTTGTACAGGTCATTGTAAGTTGACTAACAAAAATAATAATCTTTATAAACAGATATTTTTACATATGTAAAATCTGTAGGCAACAGGACAAGATTTTGGTACTGGAAGCGTTCTGCTTTCTGTTTGTAGTCTGAAAAGTATTGCCCAGTCATGTTTGACCTGGCTTTGTTTGCATACAGTTTAATAGTCCCTGTGGAGAGCAAAAGAAGCAGTACACATCAGCCAAAATCCAATGTTGGAAACCATCAGCTATTGTCTGGTGACAAATTGGCTTTTTATTAGGCTTCTCTTATTTACCTGCATTCATATGGAGGGATCTCTTCATACAAAGTAGCTGAAATTTTGTCTGGACCTTTCTCAAGTTGCAAATCAAACTGTAAACAATGACTAGTGCACAGAGAGGGAAGTTTTGGCCTGGATATTTGCTGGCTACACCAGAACCTTCTGAATAATGAACATTGCCCACAGAGGCTTTATTGGCATCAGGCCATTGCAAGTAGTTTGAGAGATGGCAGTAATAACTACTCTTCACTCTAAAATTTCTTAATTTGTCCTGAAAAGGGCCTGGTGTGTACAATTTAGTGGCATCTAGTGGTGAGGTTGCAGATTGCAACCAACTGAAACTTTACCCCAGTGCCATGCATGTAGGAGAACTATGATGGTTAATGTGAAAATGCACATAGCTGCATCTAGAGTCGGGATTTAATTTGTCTGTTCTGGGCTACTGTAGAACAACGTGGTTGACTCCTTGGAAAAGAACCTGCCCTGTATGTAGATATAAACTACTCATTCAGGTAACGAAAACCAGAATGATTCTTAGTTTTAGGTAAAAACATAGTTATGAAAATATATATTCCATTTCTGTGAATATATCCCCCTAAATCCTTCACACTGGACCTTGAAGTTACCACCACAGCCTCCATGCAAACTAAACATGACGTAGGTGGGATTGATACATTACTCGCTCCAGTGATCAGAGATGATTAGGTCAGTCAGTGGTTAGAGCAAAAACAAAACACCAACATCAACAAGAAAGCAGCTAACATGAGAACAGTTTCATGCTCAATAAATGAAGTGAAACAAAATGCGAATTTAATCTGATTATCAGGCTATTCTTTCTCTATGCCACTGTCCACTTCCTCCCCGTCACATCCTTCTCCCCCTCCTCGTTGTTGTGCTTCTGACCACTCTCATTGCTCTGCCTGTCCATTCTCAATATATCTGTGTTTTTCTGTGCACCCTCCATCTTTTTTTTTATCACTGGATAGTGGAGCAAGTGAGACGCAGGCCTGGGATCTTCCTCTGCCCCAGCTCCCCCACCCTCTCTGCAGACAATCTGTCCCTTCCTGGTACTGACTCAGCAGGCTGTGTTCACGGCTCTGCCCCCAGAGCTACCACCCTGCCCCCTCCCTTCACCAACCACTCAGACTCTGCCTTGCTGAGAAAGAGTGTGTCCTTCACTGAGGACCTGCTGCTGGCAGCCTCCTCTGGTATAGTAGGACTGCTGTGTATCATTAAATAACAGAACCTTACAACAGTGTAGCGTTGGCGCCTCTCTTGTATATGGAGTCAACAGCAGGACTGTTCAGACTGACTTGAATGGTGTTATCTGAAACAAATAACTCAACATGCATGGTGCGACTGCCCAGAGCACATTGTGTAACAACACCACTGACCAATAGTCCTACTCTGGATTCTCCTACCCCAGCATGTGGGTTGCTGTGTTTTTCAGGCATACCCAAACCTTACTCTAGGTCCAGTACTCATGCCTGAATAAGAGAAAATGTTAATGGTAGGCTAGTCTTAGCATGAGGAAGAAGCAGGTTCTCAATTTCAGCTGTTGCTCACTTGGTTTGCCATAATAACATTAATACTGCAATGTAATAATCAACTCACAGTTTGGCTCTTAGGTCCAGTGACCTGTGTGTCGAAAGTGACGAAATGTCTCTCCTCTGTGATCAGGAATGGGCAGTGGGGGCAGCGCCGGGAAGGAGGCAGGGCCTCTGAAGACCCTACTCAGACAGCAAACGCAGACAGCTCTTGAGCAGAGGGTACGATTACTCAACACTCACATACGCTCATACATGTATTTACCGACTCACGCAGACATTTGAGACCGACATGTACTGCAAAACACAAGTGTTCAGTTTCACTGAATTTCACATACACATTCACGGTGTTCTGTTTCAGGCTGTACCTTGATTGACTGGCTACATAACTGCGGTGGAATACAGTAGAAAAAAATATATAACACTTTTTTTTCAAAGCCTCAAGCAGCAACACAAGTTAAAGCAGCGAGCTAGGCGTGGCATTTTTGACAGTTGATGTCCTGTTTGCATTTCGTATCAGCCTCACATGTCTGCACGTAGGATCAGACTGTTATTCTGTGTTGCACACTTCTTTCCACACAGCTGCATTCTTTGTGAAAGATCACTAATTTACACTTAAGTGTTTGATGGGGAGTGGGTCTGTGTAAGAGCAAGTAATGTTCCCTTTCTCTGTCCTCTTGATCATTTGTGCTACTCAGGGAGCGTCCTCCTCTGGGTTATTGTTAAACGCCAGGGTATGTCCCATCAGTGTGACACTCTCTTTCTCACTCTCCACCTTTACCCTAACACCCTGACCAGCTGAGGGTCACCACCAAGTCTCAATCAACTCCTAACCCGTCCCTCCTTTGCTGTTTGTAGATCTCAGAGGGGCAGGCTGGGTTGAGCAACATGGCAGCGGGTCCTTGTGTGACTCCCGCTTGTGTGTTTGCTCAGCACCCACTGCACTGTAAAAGATTCACAGACATGTTAGGCGGAGGGCCGGAGGCTTGGAGTTGTGTTCCCTTCAAGTTTGAAGGGATGTGTGACTGTGCGTGTGTGTGCCTTCTCGATACTCATGTCAAACACCTCCCTCCTCTCTGACTTCTTTTCCTGAGTCTGACTTGGTTTTCCTGTGTCAACAACGGGAATGAGCACGCTCACCTCATCACCTCATTCTTGCATCCTTGCTCTGAGTGGGAGGAGCTGTCAGTCGAATTAGTAGCTATCTTCCTTGCTGGAGTACTGGACAAGAAAGAAACGTCTTGGTAGTCCCACCTGATTTTTTTTTTTTTTCTCCCACGAAAGTCATTCATCACATAAACCTGCATGGTTGGAAATCACAACGTCCCTCAGATTTTCTGTAAACCTTGGTCATCACTTTAACCTAGGATAAATAACAAGATGCTAACCAGGTAGTCCAAGTTGTTCCAGCTCTTCTTGTGAGTGACTGCATGGATTTGCTTTCACATTATTTGACTGGAAGAAGGTACGAGCTGTTAAGCTAATGGACAGAGAAGCATGTAAAACAGAGTCCTGATCCTCAGCCAGGACCTTGTGTGTGTGTGTGTGTGTGTGTGTGTGTGTGTGTGTGTGTGTGTGTGTGTGTGTTCTTCACTTTCAACTCCAAACCCAATGAATGCATTTATATAGATTTGAAAGGACTGAATGAATCACAAATATATAGGCTTTATTTAAAATAAATTTTCTCAATCACTTCCAGATCTATTTGAAATGCTCTCAAGTTTGTGTCTACAAGTGTAGGCTGGAATGGAGTGAGTGGGGACTCCTCAGGGATAAACCTTGCATGGGGGGGCACCATCACACTCAATCCTTACTGCATGTCAGCACTTGTCCTTGTATAACTGTAACAATATGATCACCCAAATCTATACACATCAGTTAAAGATACAGTACTTCTAAATGTGCTGATCTAAGACCTGACCGAAGATCTATTTTTTGTTTTTCTATTACACCAACTTCACTTTAAGTTTGGTGTCCAGTTTTGAACACTTTTCGAAGATATTTATTCATGTGCCTGTAGCCACTATTAAAACATTAGATAATTAGTTATTAGAATTAGGCTTGGGCGGTATCAAGATATTATAGTATACCAGTGTATTTAGAAATCCTGAAGGTATGATCTTCAACGGTGTCAAAAATGCATATGCTCGTTTTTCTATTAAACTGACATGGAGATGCTGTATTAAGGTGTTGTAGTACACAGCAGGCACCACCAGAGGTCAGCCTTCTCAGGCGAAACAGGCAGCTGAGCTAAGAAAGATAGTAACTGCATGTGTGAGGATAACTCCATAGGACAAGACAAAAAGAAAATGCATCTGCCCCTGTTTGAGAGTATTATGGATTTTTTTTTCTGATGATTAAGTTGAGCCAATATACACAGGCAAAGCTGTGCGAACTATTTGCCCCAGAAGAGTTATGAGTAGCCACCTGAAATTATATAACTGCCAGTATGCCACCACCTGCTCTGCTTGTGATTTCTATTCAGCCCACTGATGTGTCTGTATCTGCTGAATCTATGTAAGACTAGTGCTTATTTCCTATTTATGCATTATTCTACGGGCTGTAAGTATTTCAACCCAGCAAGACTTGTCTCAATAGTCTAACTGTGTATCAGACACACAGCATTGTAGGCAACATTATGTCATACATACTACAATGACTTCTATCACCAGCACCCCTTTTTTTTTTCCCCCCCCATTCACCCCAGCGAAATATTAGAAGGTATGAAGGTATGAAAAACTAGATACCGCACAAGCCTGATGAGAATTCTGTTGTTGCTAAAGGCCTAAAAAAAAAAGCATATACTGTCTGTAGATCTTGAAATAACATTTTACGTTTTTCACTCCACCCAGCCAAAAGGGACATGAAAAACTGTCAACAAAAGTAATATTTGAACCTTAAGTCATAAAAAACACCTTAAAAGAATCAAGGAGCAGTCACTGACAATAATAAGGAAGAAAACATTGGCACAATCCAGAGTGTTTTTTCCCCTACCACAAGTGACTCGACTGTTTTCTATTTCCAGGAGTTCCCCTTCTTCACCTTGACGTCTTTCCCACCTGGTTTTCTGGTTCACGTCGGTGGAGTTGTCAGCGCCCGCTCTGTCAAACTACTGGACCGTATACACAACCCTGGTGAGTGCAGCGCACACAAACAAACAACGTCTTAATGTAGCTCGTCCACTGTCCTGTGAAACGATATGAGTGAGCTCCTCCATTGACCTACAGTATCGTGTGAGTGTTCGGTCTTGTTGCACCTGGGCTGTTAGTTAATGCTGCCCATGATCCTTCTTGTGTTAAACAGTTTTCTCATGTATGGTCCAATCTGTTTGATTGTTTAGAGAAATTATGTTGAAAGACTTGAGTTATGTACGAGTCCTAAAGCAGGTGAAAGCTGTTCCTGGTCACACTTACAGTATAGGCTGCAGCTTTGTAGCATTTTTATGGAAACAACGTCAGCATAGGCTATCATCAGCTGTGTCAAAAAGTTTCTTGGATAGGGGCAACTTTCACCTTGTGGTTTGACTGACTGGCTTTGTGTAATGTGTAGTCTGTGCCAGTCATGTGATGGCTGTGTGTGTGCGTGTGTGTGTGTGTGTGTGTGTGTGTGTGTGTGTGTGTGTGTGTGTGCTCTGGTTGCTGTGTAATTGTGTGCTGTGGTGCTGCCCCCTGGAGGTGAGGTGCAATTGTGGTGCATGGCTCCAGTCTGTTGCCTGCTGCTTCTGTTGTCTAGTGTTGTTGGCTGCAGGTGGCACTGTGGTGAGCTACTGTGGTGTTTTTATATGCTCTTGAATTTTCAAATAGGCTTCTTATCTCTGTGTCAAAATCCTTTGTGTTCTCCTGTATTTTGTAGACTTTTTAAATAAGTTTAATATCGATGACAATAAGACACTTGCTCATTGAAGGTGTTGGCCAATCGGAGTCCACTCTGCGCCCTTAGTAATTTTCCTTTTGTTCGTTTTAATGGTCTTTGACTACTCTGGATCAAGGATTTCTGAGAATTTAGGAAGAGGGAAGTGCTGATAAATGTTGGCTGGGTTAGGATCAGCAGGGTTCTTTTCAGAGGTGGACCAAAATAAGCTACCCTAAAAGGATTTTACTAACAATCTGCAAACAGGTCTTGGCGTTCAATGATTAAACCTACAGTATTCCTCTCTAAACTAGTGTAAGCCTTCCCTGACTGAATTTGCAGGTTTTACTTGGAAACCATTCTGAAAAGGGCCCTGTTCACTGTTGCTATGCCTTGACTATATCCACTATAGAGCAACATTAAAGGTTCCCTGTGGAGTTTTCGACCAATATGGAGCTATGATTTATAAGTGCGATCTGTGTTCTTTGTATAGTGCACAAGGACGCACATTAACAACAGGGCTGACGATGTGATACACCGACCAGTGGTGGGGGCAGCGTGCAAAGATTTAAAATAAAACATCGGCTTTTATGAAGATGGTTTGTTAGACCTCAGAGATACACACAGTATAGGGCTGGGCACTTAATCAAATTTTAGGCTATGGCATGTTTTGTTGACTAGAGCCAAGATGATGGATAAGGAGCCTTTTGTCAAGAGGCAATATGTTAACTAATCGTGATCTCAATATTGACCAAACATAATTGCAGTAAGGCTTGGACTGCAACTGTTTTTTCATACCCTTCTGAGATTTCAGTGGGGTATTCAGTATATAGTTATTATAGTTCGTCCACTGTTCCAGCAGTCACCAAGGTGGGAATCACCACGATACGATATTATTATGATACTTAAGTCATGTTACAATATTACTGCGATTTTTAACTGTGTTGTGATATGCTGTGTATTGCAATTTATTACTTTTTTGTACTGCTAATTATGTTCTCAAAGGAAAATTTCATCAACATCTGTTTTAAGATTTCAGTCTTTTCATCTCACTTTCAGCAAACTGTATCTAGTGGACTGAAAAAAGCAATTGATTTTATCTTTCTGGTAGGCTACCAGAAGTTTAATATATAATTGAAATATTAATGTTATATAATCAATAAAAAGATTCCTGCTGTCCATGCATTGATATGATATTGCCACATAAAACTACTGCGATACTATGTTGTAACGATTTTTCCCCCACCCCTATATATCACCAATTTTGATGTGAGTATATGCTGTTTCTCTAGTGGTCTCTCTCTGCCAATGCTAGCCGGTTGTTTGAGTCCTGTAACGTTATCCCAACCATTGGCCGCCACCATGTTTGCCCGCTCAGCCTTTTCCACCAGCAGAGACTGACCTCTGGCGGCATGTGCAATACATTACATACAGTACATCCTCAATGCTGCTTCTCCATATGGGTTTAACAGAAAGATCAGTGTCTGTTTACAAGAAAACTCCACAGGGCATCTTTTTAAATTTGGAAAGTATACAAGAATCAGACTGCTACTGCATGCTCCTTTTTGTATTACGTAGCTTCTCCTTTAACCTTTTTAAAATATTTGGCTAGACCTGTAGCTTTTACTCATCTCTTTTCTCCTCTTTTCCTCGTCAGTCTTCTTCTTTCGAGATTGTGTTAGTAGGCCTGAACATAGTTTGTCTTTGCATAGTGACTGTGAAGTGCTGTCTGTCTTTGCATAGTGACTGTGGAGTGCTGCCGTTGTGCTGTGCTTGTTTGTTAGACTGTCTCTTCTTTTCTTTTTCTCTCTTTTCTGTACTAACGGTGTGTTCTGGCCCAGCCTTGGGTAACACGCGCTCATACAAACTGCTAGACTGGAATAGTGTCACTGCAGGTATTTCCCCCCTTTTACTGCTCTCACCCACAGGAGCGATGGCAGCTCAGTGAAGTGAAGATTGTGCCCTCTTAGCTTAGCATGCACTCAACACTGACATTTAACCAACATGGACCAAGCCTAAATATCCACAAACAAATTCAACATTAGCTGGATAGTGTATCGCTGAAAATTTGATGAATTCAGTGAGCTGCCATTCTCCTCTCTCTAATCTGTGTGAGTGTGTGCTGAGCTGAGTTGAGCATGCGCTGTGTCCCCACCCCACCCCATCCAGCCTGGCCTGGCCTCCCCCCCTACCCAGCTCATCCCGCTGCACAGAAGAGCTGCAGCTCTTCCCTAACGTTGTCCCAACGCTGTTCTAACGCTTCCTGAATCAGCATTGTGGTCAAACCTGTCTAGACCAGAGGAGGTTTAGGAGGTTTACTCTGTGACTAAGAGCCACTGACCGGGCATGTGCATCCCTAACTCACTGGGCCGTATTCATACTGAGAGAACGAGAGAGAGAGCGAGAGAAGGAGGGATGGATGGATGCATGGAAGGCAGATTGATTTGACGGGTGGCAGTTGAGGAAAATTAAAACGTGGATTTGGGATGTATGAGGGGGATGGAGGGAAAGATAGGAGCTTGGGGAATGGAGGAAGTATGATATCACTCAGTATTCTCTAACTTTAAAAAACTAGAGTAGATTTGATGGACTCTGGTGAATGAATATGGCCCTTCTCTGCCCATGAGCGTGCACATGGTCATGAGCGTGCACGTTGGTGAGCCTGTGCCTGTGTTACATGCTGCTTCTGGTTCAAAGGAATCCACCTTGTGGGTCTGATGCCTGGCCATCAGTCATTATTCTTCATCTCTTCAGTTGATCTCCCTTTATTTTCCCCTCATTCATTTGTCCCCCCGTCTCACCCAGAAGTTTCTCTCTTTTTTGGGGGGCGCTCCGTCAGCATGTGGCCCTTTCAGGGAGTCATGGGGTGCGGCTCAATACTCTAATGTAGCTTCCCTCATGTGATATTTGTTCGGTGATCCACAAATGAGTGAGATTAAACTCACACCTGGCAACGATTAGGCTCTTGTGAACAATGTTGATAAAGCAGAGGTGGTATTGGAGCAAAGCCTCATGAGACTATTGAAACACACCCATGGTTTAGCCTAAGTATGATGAAGGCTCAATCCCTTTAAATTTAAATCCTTTGTAACCAGCGTAGGAACCACTTAAAGCACATCAGCCACAGAGTCTTTGATGTAATTCCATTTTTACTAGCCAGTAAGATTTTCTTTCTATTGTCAGACCACCACAGTTGGCTGGTGACTGTATCTCTCACCTGTGTCCTTTCTGTTAGTGCGACTGACTGAAAGGAGACGTAGAGAAAAGAGAGAGACAATCCGTTTTTAGATACTGTGCATATAAGGAAAGCCAGTGAAAACAACCATGAGTAACCTAACCACTGACTTTGCCTTCATCATCATCCTCAAACTCTCATGTCACCATTCTCATTGTCACTTTGTTTCACAAACTGATAGTTGGTTTTGGCTTGCTTTGATACACCATTTAATTCATGTATTCATCAGAAAATACAAAGTGTACTGTTTGATGTCTGTTTATTTTCTGGTAAATCAAAGCAATCAGATTAGATACCAGATTAGATACAGAGTTGTCAGATTATTTGTTATTGTTTGTACTTGTTAGGCTTTTTTAAAATCATGCTACATTGACAACAGGTACTTAGGTTTAGTGTTAACTCATCATTAGCTAGACTTCAGTTTTTTGGTAGAAAATTCAGCCAATCAGAATTTTTTGTGAAAGTCGTCTAATTCAGAATTTTGTGTTTTGCAGATGAGCCAGAGACTCGCGACGCCTGGTGGGAGGAGATTCGCCAGGAGATCAAATCTCATGCCAAAGCTCTCGGTTGCCATGCTGTTGTGGGGTACAGTGAGAGCACTAGCATCTGGTACGTAGTAAAAAAAAAAAAAAAAAAAAAATATTACCCTTTTATTTTATTTTTTGCCTGATACGTCTACTGTTGATGTTTATGTTATCAACCAGTTGTCTTAAACACATACAATTTAATTTCCTGTTCTCATCCTCCTCTTTTCTTTTCTTTTCTTTCTCTCCATCTCCCCTCAACACAGTGAGGAGGTGTGTATCCTGTCAGCATCAGGCACAGCAGCCATCCTGAATCCTCGGTATATGCGTGAAGGCTGCCTAGACATCGGACTCACTGACCACAGGTTTGTGATGATTCGGAGACTGAGCAAACTGATTCTAATCCCTGTTTGTGTATGTGTACAGTTTATGTCAGCACAGCTTGGGTTGAGCTATGGAGGCTGATACCAGATGGTGTGTGTTGTTCTCCAGGTTTGATGAGCCGTCTCCTCCAAGCTGTGGGTTCTGCCACATCCCATATGATGAGATCAACATGCCCTTTCCCGCGCAGCTCACCTACTGTTACCTCTGCAGGCGTCAGAAGGTCTCAAATATGCTTTCTTGCTTACATCAATCAAAGACTTCTATGTGTTAAACATGTCTTTGGTGTCCAGTGTAAGAAAGTCATGGAGATTGTTGTGTTTTTTCAAGGTTCCTGATGTGCTGTTCACAACAATTGACCTGCCATCAGAAGCAGCAGTCACTGGGAAGGGCTGCCTTATCCAAGCCAGGTAAAACACCTCGCAGTTAACCAGCCAACACTGAGAAGAAACCTACGTGTCAGACTATAAAGAAATTCAGCACAAAGTTCAATACCAATAACAATATTTCAAATAGCTGTAACAGGATTTATACACCAATACAGGGCGGTTTTAGTGCAGTGGATGCAGCGCATAAGGAAGATTTTTTTTAAAAAGCTGGGGTAAAGTCACTCTGTTTCAGCAACCACACCTGTGTTATCTGAAAATATTTCCCTTGTAGGCGCAATAACACACATCCCAGAATAGAGCCCCACATCAAAGACATTGATCAAAGTGAGTTAACGCCAGTGTTAATTGTCTTCTAGACTGTGTCGTCTGAAAAAGAAGGCCCAGGGTGAAGTGAACGCGACGGCCATCTCCAACCTGCTGCCTTTCATGGAGTACGAGCTGCACACGCAGCTGATGAACAAGCTGAAGCTGCGGAGCATGAACGCTCTGTTTGGCCTACACATACAGATCAGTATCGGAGAGAACATGCTCTTGGGTCTGGCTGTACGTCAACATTTTAGGTTAACAACTTCATCAGCCATACATGTGTTTGCTGCAACACTGTCCTTAAAATGTGTGTGTGTGTGTGTTCAGTCTGCTACAGGAGTGTACCTGACAGCCCTGCCGGCACCAGGTGGCATCCAGATTGCGGGGAAGACTCCTGGTGACCTGAGCAATGAGCACCACATCCTTACCATCCAGAAAAGGATCAACGACACCATAGCCAGGAACAAAGAGCTCTACCAAATAAACCCTCCGGTGAGACACACAACGCATACATGGACAGTAAATTAATCTATGGTAGATAAGCTTTGTGTTTAGGTCTACAAATTCTCCCCTAGTATGTCAGAGTTTCACTGCTTAGTAGTGTTCTACACAACAGGAGCCAGAGTGTCACATGGGTGTTATCCCAAAATATAGATATTGTAAATAGAAAGCTTTTGGAACAAATGTTTAAACCAGAATGTTTTAAATATGGTTCAGATGTTTTGGAATTTTGCATTTACCCTTATAAATCATGGAATATCATTGACTTACCTGCGTCATAGGGCTTTCAAGTCAGATATCGGAATAATATCTACAGTTTATGGCCATTAAAAACTAAGGCTGCACAATATGATGACAATAATAGTTGCATTAATTTACAGGTAGTAAAGTTTACTCAGTTCTGCCTTTCTGCTGCTTTTGGTATACTCCTTAAATACAACAAACTGCTTGTTGAATTAGAAAATATTATTTCCGATGGGGGTGGGCAATATGGCCCTAAAATAATATCACAGTATTTCAAGGTATTTTGCAATAATTATATTCTTGACGATATGACAGATTCGGATTCTGTCTGTAATATTAGTAGTACAACAAAATAAACTCCTTCACGAATTACACATTTAAACAGCTCCCAAATACAAAAAAAAGTACCATGGGATCTATATATATAAATCAACAGGCGATTTCCATCTCTTTCCTGAATGATTAAGTTTTTTTTGTGTGGTTTTTTTTTCCCCACCTGGACCTTTATGCTCTCCCATTTCTCCTCTAATCATCACGTTGTAACCTGTGACAGGCTGTCATGCTACGATGACTATTGCACATTCACATATCTGTAGTTTTTTCTGTCGAGCCACGAGCGTCACGGTGGTTTACATTACCAAAGGTTTATGACAAACTCACTCGACAACAGCGACTCCTGTGTGCGCATGGCGATAAAGGAGAGGGAGAGATGATGTGCTGCTGCCAGAGGAGCCACTGAAGGAGTTCCCTCTGAGCGGTAACTCGCTAAAAAAGAGTCTGAGAAGTCTGTGGCTGTTCATAAAACATTCGGGATACCACAGTTTATTCCACACTACTGAAGCTGCTCCTCTTTTTGGAACCACCGCAGACTCAGTAATAATTTCGCCCTCTAGCTATGCTTGTTGTTGCCATGGGTAACAGCATGACATCAATATGTCAACAAGTCGAAATATTGCGAATATCAGGATATGAATTTTTCATATGATATTAAAAATGATATTTGACATCATTTTTTTGTATTAAACGAATTTAACTTTAAGCTGAACACAAAAGGAACCAATAAAAAATTAAGTGCAGTTTTTGCTGACTTTCTCTTTTAACTAACTCAAAAAACCCATGAGTACAATATGGCAGTCTTTCACAATGTGTTTATGATTGAACCATATATTGTGCAGCCCTATTAAATACTTAAGATTTGTGCTTGTCACATAGGGTGTTATATCAAGTTAATAAGGTTTTAGTTTACATAGTAAGCGTAATGATTTTGTACACAAACATATACATGTCGTGCTGATCTTTTTCCATTATTGTGAGTATAATTCTTTCTTTTCTTGTTTCTTGTGTTAAAATCATGTACGTAATCATGCATCTTATATAGTGTGTTCTTCGTGAATCATGATAAACTTACCCCTCTTGTCTCTCTCTGGTCATTAAAGAAATTATTTGCCCTGGACCCTGACGTGTTCTGCGGCATAAACATGGTACTGAGCACGGCAACTTTCAGCTGTGAGACACAGCAAAGCATGACAAATATTTCACTATTAATCACAATACTACACCACTTTTACTTTAACTATGCAACTGCTCTTAACTGGGGACGTTTGGGAGCAGGTAGACGTGTAACCCACTCCAGAGTCAACTCGAGGGCAACCCACTGCAGACTCGAATCTGTGTTAATCTACTTGTATTATGGCCATCTACCCTGCCCATTCACACTCTCACCTGTGTATGTTTTCATGGTGTGTGTGTGTGTGTGTGTGTGTGTGTGCGTGCGCGCCACTTCTTACTCTTCCAGATCCATATTTAAATTAACACCAGCCATGTGTGTGTGTGTGTGCGCGCGTGTGTGCAATGGTACAGCTCATTGGGTACTTGAGTGAGTGTGAGCATGTTGTGTGTCATTAACATAGACTTTCTACTAGCTTTACAGTTTGGGCAGATGTGCGATGCAGATGTGGGCTGCTGTGGTGCTCTGGTGTTTACTTTCCCTTCCCGTTTGCTCAGGTTTTGTGTCCCTCTTGCTTACAGGAGCTGACAGAGGAAGTGGTGGGTTCCCCGATTCCTGAGCCGAGGCAACGATCCAGACTTTTCCGCTCGCACTCAGAGAGCTCAGACGAACTGTCAGAACTGGATCTCTCCCACGGCAAGAAGGATGCCTTTGTCCTGGAGGTGTGTACCTATTAAAAATACATGTACGTGCAAATATAGATAACTATTTCCATGGATATGTGTAACCATTTGCAGTCATTCCCACAGATTGATGACACTGATGCTGTGGAGGACATCCACTCCCTCCTTACTGATGCTCCAACCCCCACAGGTATCCTCTATCTAGTAACTCCACAGTCATTACAGTGTATAATCATGCACCGCACATCCTGAGCACAAACGGTTATCTCCTGATTGGGCTGAGGCTCTAACCGATGTCATCATGTTCTGCTTCATCATCCATGTTGCTGTTTCCACTTTAATTTTTTAGGCTTCTACAGCTGCAACACTGAGGTCATGCCTGGGATTTACAACTGGACTTCAGGAGTTCAGGTAACTCGTCATAATACAGTGTTACTTCCTTAACAAAATACACCAAAGCTTCCGTTATCTTCACCAAACACAATTTCAGAGGCCTTTTTATGCACGTATTTGCTATTTTTCAATCAGTAGATGCATCTACATTTCCAGCAAAACTACAATTTGAACATATCATAGCAAATTACTGTCCTTTAGGAAACTAGTGCAGTTCTTGTTCAGAAAGGGTGATTGCTTGTCCTCTGGTATTGCTGCAGCTTTCTCGAGAACCTCTCATCCAAACAACTTCACACTCAGCACTGCACTTCCTTGGTTCCCAAGCAGTACACCTGCCATGACATAGTTGTGTCCCTTAGCAACTTGTTGTATGCGTCATCAGCCAACAGCTAGCCATTTGGGACCAGGCTTTTTCCAAGAACAAAAGCATTCACTCCAGAAGTTACATCACTGATGCTTAAAATGTTTGAGTGTGCTATGATGTAACATCGCTTGTCTCTCCTCCTTTATCTGTTTTTGAATGCACAACCCCAATTCCAAAAAAGTTGGGATGCTGTGTAAAACATAAAAACAGAATGCAATGGTATGTAAATTCTTTTTGACCTATATTCAATTGAACACAGTCCAAAGACAAGAGTTAGTACTCAAACACATAAACTTTATATTTTTAACATCCAGTAAGAGTTGGGGAACTGAGGACACTAATTCATAAAGTTTTGAAAGTGAAATTCTTTCCCATCCTTGCTTGATACATGACTTCAGTTGCTCAACAGTCCGGGATCTTCATTGCTGCATTTTGGGCTTCATAATGCACCACACGTTTTCAGTGCGAGACAGGTATGGACTGCAGCGAGGCCAGTCTAGTACCCACGCTCTTTTACTGTGAAGCCACGCTGTAAAGGAGTGCAGAAAGTGATTTAGCATTGTGTTGCTGGAATAAGCAGGGACATCCCTGAAAAAGATGCCATCTCGTTTGCAGCATATAGTGCTCCAAATCTTGTATGTACCATTCAGTCTTCATTGTGTCTTTACAGATATGCAAGTTAGCCATTCCATGGGCACTAACACAGCCCGATACCATCACAGATGCTGTTTTTTTTTTTTTAAACTTTGAGCTGGAAAAAAATCTGGATGGTCCCTTTTCTCTTTAGGCGGAACGACAGGACATCCATGATTTCCAGAGACAGTTTGAAATGTGGAGTCGTCAGACAACAGCACACTTTCCACTGTGTGTCAGTCCATGTTAGATGAGCTCGGGCCCAATAACCAATTAACCTGTTTACTTGTGGAATGTTAAGTGTTTTTTCTACATTTCACAGCTTTCTTTTGTTGCCTCTGTCCCAACTTTTTTGTAACATTTCGCAGGCATACAATTCAGAATGAGAATGAGTTCATCAGTTTGAAAATCTTATATTTGTACTCTATTCAATTGAACATAAGTCAAAAAAATTTGCAAATCATTGCATTCTGTTTTAATTTACATTTAACAGTGGCCCAACTTTTTCTGGAGTTGGGGGTGTACTGTAAGAAGCGATGGGGAGTGAGCTGTACCCAACATGCTGTTTGGCCATTTAACAGCTTGGTCCACTCTCCATACACTATACAGTGTGTACATTACGCACTACTGATAAATATGTTGTGTAGCTCTGAAGAGCTTGCATTTAACACAGCATTCCTTTAGGTTAAGTTCATCAGATGAACAGGTGCCGAGAAAATAGAAAAACAGACAGACAGAGACTACTTCCATTTTAGTTAGATTCAGCCCCTTTGCCTTTGTTGTTAATCAATACTGTGTGTTTTGTTACTGTCTTTCAGATGTTTACATCAGTGAGGGTCTTCAGGTTGAGTCACGCCAATCTCACCAACCAAGGCTTGAACAAAATCTTCACTGACTTGTGTGAGAATCTGCTAAAGGTAAGAAAACCATTATTGATCAGCCACACCGTGTGTGGTGCCATGTTTATCACTTCTAATATGCATGTTACACACTGTTTATAACAGTACTTGAGTGACAAGACAATTCGTTGTGATCGTTTCAGAGTTTTTACTTCAAGTTGCGCTGCATGATCCCCTGCTGTTTGTGTCACCTCAACTTTACTGTAGCAGTGCCAGAAGAAGAACTCATACAGGTAAGTGGTTTCAGGCCCCCTCTGATTTGTAAAACTGCAAAAAAAAAAGTCAGAACTGATCAATCAGATTAAAGTGTTTCTTGTATCTGTTACTTTACCTCTGTCTGTCTGCCTCCCAGGTCACAGTGACAGCGGTTGCTATGACGTTTGACAAAGACCAGACTCAGGAAAAGCCAGACAAGCCCGCCACCAGAGGTCTGTTGGGTTCAAGAGATTATTTATGATCCTGTTGGAAGTTTTTAATGTTTTCTGCTACCCCAAAGGCAGGCAGTCATTCATTTCTTCACCATAGCTTTGCTCAGTTTCTGGATTTGTGGCTTCAGTTGTAGCTCTGCTCAAACGTAGGGAGTCACATCTTTGATAGCATTGAGGTTTTAATACATTTTTATTGCACCATAGTATAAAACTACATTTATATTCATCCACTGTAGGTGCTTGTGAACAGGACGTAAATTAGAAGTTGGGTTTAATGTGTCCTCTTTGTTGCTTGTCCAATTGTTGATGTCTTCTACTGTATCTTTAGACAATTTAAAAGCTGTATCTCTGAGTGGAGCTGCTACTTGATCTCACAGTCATGCAGCTTCGGAGCCGAGATAAGGCTAATATGAATATTTAACAAACCACGAAACTGCTTGCAGAAACATAAAAAAGCTTTTAAGAGTTTGTCTCAGTGAAGCAGGAAAACAGAACTCTCCTTTTAAGACCACGATACTCTAAACAGTGTAGCAGATTTAAGAAACATCATTTCTGTTAAGCACCTGAGTGCTAAAGCACCAGAATGATTCTACCTGCTTCTTTTCAGGAGTTATTGAGACTGAAGAGCAGCTGCAGTTTCCCTTGGAGTTATGTGCAGACCCGTCATCCACCAACATTCAGCCATCATCCAAAATCTCAGGTAGCCTTTAAAAAATGTTTTTTATTTTTTATTCCTCCCCGACCTCCTCCTCAGCCCTGCTTCACTAACAGACATTGCCCATCTCCTCCACTAACAACTTTAGGTACAGTCTCTTTACTCACCCCAGCTGCAAAACTCTGCCAAAATCAGCTGGTTATGGTTCGTTCACCAGGTAAATAAACGCTGATGTGTCATGTGCCGTGTGTTCTGTTTTGATGTGGACTTAGATGACCGTGTGACGTTGGCTAGATGAGGCGCCATGCTCCTAAAGCAGCATGGCTTACTTTTTGTTCACATGAAATAAACAGTGACAAAAGCAAGCAGCTAGCTCCATCTATAGCAAGCACTGACTATAGATGGAGCGTTACACATTGGGAGGTGAAAGCTAAGTAACACATGCTGTGTAAGCCTTGTGGCAAGGGCAAGGGATTGATCCTGAGCTCTTTTCGCTCCCTGCCTAGTACAAAGGTAGACTTTGATGTGTGTGTGTGTGTGTGTGTGTGTGTGTGACAGGTGTCCCAGAGAGTACCAACGTGTCATCCAGAGGTGAGCCCCCTTCCCCTCGACCATCTCTCCCTGCTACCAAAACAACTATACTGCCCTGTTTTGACTTTTCATCCTTTTGTCTCGGACAGTTATCCTGCACCACTCCCGAACCTCATCCACTTTTGTTCTTTTCTTTTCGTTTTTTGTGTCTTTTTTTTCTCTTGTTGACGTTGTTGTTGCGTTTGTGTATGTTTGGGTGTGGGCTGCGTGTGTGTGTGTTTGTGTGTGTGTGTGTGTGTGTGTGTGTGTGTGTGTTCTCTCCAGCTGCCTCCGTTGATTACGGTTCCTTTGCAGACAGATGCAGCACCTGGCTAGAGCTGCTTAGGCTGAAAGCTCACACCATAAGACGAGGATCAGTTAAGACAAGTAGGAGGACACAGTCTCTAGCACACCCCGGTGATCATACCCACAAATACAGAACACAGTTTCACGAGCAATCACACACACAAACACACGCATACACGTACGTGCTCGCATACACACACACACCCCTCCATGCATGCCGCTGGGGGGCGGAGCATCGTAAATCAAGCACCAGCTTTTTCAGCTAGAGTGTGAACGTTGAAGCACCGCCCCTCAGAGGGATCCACAATCAGAAGCTTGGCTTTGAAATGCCTGTAGCCCCGGCAACCATGCTGAGAAATTAATAGAAAGTCACATTTTTTGCATCAGCGTGCTTGTACTTGTCTACATCTGTAAGGCTTTGATGTGTTGCCACACTTTGATGACAATTACTGGAAGAATTTCTTTTGATTTTTCTCTGCATTTGCATTAGTGAATGTATGTAAGCCGAGAAGACGTGACATGATTTGCGGATGTGCTGTACGCATACAAATTTGAACACATACAATGTGAGAACAAGGTGGGGGGGGGGGGTGAGGATGCTTTTCTGCAAGATCTGGTATGATTTTCAGTCCTGTGCACAGTAAGTAAACTGCAATCTAACGTGTGGCTCTGAAGGTTCCTGGTTTGATGGATGTAAGCCACGTCAGGTAAAATTTTGCAGTAAGACGATGGAGCATCTTTCACACTCTGGCTCGTGTACATGTGCCCAGCTCAGCTCAGCTCATAGCTGTCTCTCTGTCCGTCTCCATTTCTCAAGCCTCTTTCACAAATGCAAACAGATAAATATTCTCTCATGTACGTCACTGTACTGTAAATGCTGTATTCACACTTGCAAAACATACACAGCTGTGCCCAGGTCTGTCTGTCTGTCTGCAGACACTGTTTAACTGTCTCGTCTGTTTGCTTCAACTGCATGATCTGCATGACAGCACACGCTTTCCAAGTGATTGTCTTGGCACCACACATCCACACTACTGCATGTCAAGTCACACATGTCTCTAACACACACAGACAACTGACATACTCACAGACAAGTACACACGTCACCCCTGCTGTGAAAAACGCTAACAGGACTGCATTTTTTTGCACGTACATTTCACATTCCACATTTCTTTCTGCTTTAAAGTTCATATCTGCTTTTATTTTTCCACTATTTTGAGTGTTTTCTGGTATCTCCATTCCCTTTGTTCTTTTTTTCCTCCTCCCCTCCTCTTGTTTTCTTTTCACATCTCCTTCTTTTGGAATTCTGCCTGCTCTCTCTCAACCTGCAGTCTCATCTTTGGAGCGATCGAGTCCCGTGCCTGAGGGACGATCCCGCTCGCTGCGCTCCAACCGCTCGTTAGGGGGCAGTTCAGTCACCGTGGTGAAGATGACGCCGCTCTCCTTCCTCCCTGGGACACGCATCATAAAGTACCTTGGGATCATCAACATGTTTTTTATCAGAGAGACAACATCATTACGAGAGGTATGACTGCAAGCATGATGCACAGGCCCAAGAATCATATGAAAGTGTAGACCAAAATAAGTGAACAGCCTCAGGGTCTGAAAAGTGAAGCTGATGCTCAAGTGCCATAAATGTGCATTCTTTCTAACGGCCAGCAGGGGGCGACTCCACTGGTTGCAAAAAGGATTCTGATTGTAAAAAGGACTATGAAAAAATGACCCGACTTCTTCCTTCATGTATTACCTCGGTAACATTTTCTTAATGAGTTTATGTTCTCAATTGCTAGTTTCAAGTCGTCTTCAACTCAGCATGATGTTAATTTTGAAAATGAAGTAAAACAGACGATAAAGTACAGTATGCTTTGGGGCGTGGCTACCTTGTGATTGACATGTCGCTACCACACGGACTTGCAATCAGGTGTAGCTGTGCTTATCATCCCCCAGACTGACCAGACAGACCAGTGTTTTTAGTTTCAAGGTTGTTGTTTATTAAATCAGACACTGATGGTGCAGTGCTGTATTGTACCTCTTTATATAGGCTCTTTTTCAAATGGGGGTACACCAATTGAAAAAGTTTGAGAACCACTGGGTTATTGTGTAGACATAGCTGTACACATGAAATGTGTGTTTGTTTTCTACAGGAAGGCGGCGTCAGTGGCTTCCTCCATTCATTCATAGCAGAGGTGTTCGCGATGGTTCGAGCCCATGTAGCAGCCCTGGGTGGCAATGCAGTGGTGTCCTATAGCATGAAAGAGTGTGTGCTAATGGAAAATCCAAACAAGAACCAGGTACTCACACACACACTTTAAGTATTTACCTGTTACAGTCAATTTATACATGATACACAATAAACTAATCTCTGCATCCTTTGATCTCAGTTATTGGTGTTTTAATCTTCCAGTCTTTGTTCCTCCTCCAGGCTCAGTGTCTCATTAATGTGAGTGGCGATGCCGTCATCTGCGTCAGGGAAACGGACCCCGAGCTCACCTCCTCAGCAACAACTATCGGACAGACCTGCACTAGTGCAACAGATGGGGCTACGTGACACACAGAGACACAGAGACCGTCTGAGTGAACACACTCTCTGAGTCTAGCCGTCCAAATATGAGTCATTTATGTCTACCTTAAAACTCTGTAAAAGATCCAAAGGTTTGGACACAGGTAATAAAGAACAAGTGCTCATGCACACTGAAAAACATGCAGTCTGGATTAATATGGATGTGCAGGATGTTTCTTTATGTTTAAAGACAACATCTGTGCAGGAGACACTAATATAACTCTTTGGGTAATCTAAGTGTTTCAAAACAATCAAAGGACCCCTCTGCATTAAATGTTGCCTGTGTATTAAATCCGTCCAAATTGGGGTCACCCAAAGCTTTACAGTATGTCGGCCATGCCTTCGTGTGTGGGCACAAGTGACGCTCGAGGCAGCTATGACTAATTTGTCCATCCACAGCTCACAGGAGGAGTCATTACATGGCCAAAAATACTGTTGTTGTTGTTTATTAAATCAGACAAAAGGGACACAGTTGCATACCACCAGATAATTTAAAAACAGTCAGATTCTCACTCGGTGTTTGACTCTGCTGCGAGTAACTTGCAGATTAAAGGCCCATCTGTTCATTTCATAGTGGCCACGTGGTGACTGTCAAACAAGGCGAGTATTTAGAATTCAGCAAAGCTGGTGCTGATGCTCAAAATAGAAAATTCATACAAAAATGGAAACTTTGATGCTAGAAACAACCCAGATGACCCTGTGATGCCATTCGGTTATAAATATCTACTTTATACTTCATGTCCAGTTTTAATGTCAAAATTAGATTTTGTTGATGGATAATCTTCTTAACCGCTGTTTCAGTATTGCTCACAGGCAGTATCCTACAGGTAATCAGATTTCTCCATTAAGTGTCAAAAAATTATGTCATCGATAATAATGATTAAAAAAAACAGGCCAAGATTACAGGCATATGCACAAATTTTTGTAGCGCACGGATTTTTCTTTAAAAACAGCCATTACCGTGTATTCCAGTGACTATTTTATAAATTAAAACTACTAGAATTTTTATTGCTTCATCTAAAAATGGTCAAAATGTGTATGCTTTTTATACACTTACATCAGGAGTGAGAGGGCAAATGGTGATGGGTATAATGTGGCCCTTTGGGGTTTAGCACCAGGGATGTTTCATAGGATAAAGTGAGGTAATTTTGTGCACCGAGGCCACTCTTGCTTCACTCGCAGCTCCAGGATCAGTTCCTCTCGTTGATGCTGTCAGTGTCATATTCCACACACCTTTGTCAAGCTTCATCACATGTTCTGAATACTTCTACTGCTACTGATCTGTCCAACATTTATGTCTAATGCTGGAGAAAAAACACAACTTCTGGTGTAGGTGCCACCTGAAAATAAAGTGTAAATGTTCTCTATCAGATTTTAGTATTTTTGTAATGTAAAGTTTATGAAGACTACAGCTTATTTCGCCTGTGCAATGAATTCCTGATGTTCTGAGTCACTGTCAGAGAATTATTGATACTCTAATCTGTTTGTGTGATCAGTTTCATATGTCTGTGTCTAAAACTTGAATGTACATACTTAGATGCTTTGGCTCTCTGACTAGCAGCATGCAGACCTACTTTTTATTGCCATGAATCTGTATGCTTGCCTGGTAAGTCTTGCACAATAAACTCAGTCAAACAAAGGTGCATCTGTTTGTCAAGAGAACGTACTCTTTTTTAATCTCAGGGATGACGCTGAAATTGATATACTGTAGACCCACTGCTATTCATTATGGGGCGCTTATTGTTAAGTGGCACACACTGAAATTTACATCAACATTTTGCTACATTTAGCTACAATGTTTAAAAATGTGATGTGAATTTTTTTTTTTAAATCACCTTTACTAGATTTACAGCATTATTTGTGAACCTTTCCATGATTACTTTTAATATGAAAAAATATAAATGAATAGAATGGCTGCTTAATCTAAACATTAAATCAAAATGTAAATGTTAAATCTAAATATTACATGTGAATATTATTTCTTGATCTATGTGTTAAATATAAGAATTAAATCTAAATTTGTTAGATCTAAATGTTAAGTCTAAATATTACATCTAATGTAAATATTAAATCTTAATCTAAATGTTAAGTCTAAATATTAAATGTAAATATTTAGTCTAAATATTAAATCTCATTACATCTATCTTAAGTCTAAATATTAAATCTAAAAATTAAATCTAAATGTTGAGTCTAAATATTATGTCTTAATGTAAATATTAAATCTTAATCTAAATGTTAAGTCTAAATATTAAATGAAAATGTTAATCTAAATATTAAATCTAAAAATTAAATCTAAATGTTGAGTCTAAATATTACGTCTAAATGTAAATATTAAATCTTAATCCAAATGTTATTTATTCAATCTTAATCTAATTAAGTCTAAAAATTAAATCTAAATGTTTAGTCTAAATATTACGTCTAAATGTAAATATTAAATTTTAATCTAAATGTTAATTATTCAATCTTAATCTAAATGTTAAGTCTAAAAATTAAATCTAAATGTTTAGTCTAAATATTACGTCTAAATGTAAATATTAAATTTTAATCTAAATGTTAATTATTCAATCTTAATCTAAATGTTGAGTCTAAATATTAAATCTAAATATTAAGTCTAAATCTAAAAAACTTAAATCTAAATGTTAAATCACTGTGTGCAACTTTACAGTCGGTTAATTTATGTTATGTCAGCTGTATATGGACCACGAGTGACCATATAATAGAAACTTAACGATGAACTCCTTATTAACCTAATATGTTTGATATATATATAGTGGGGCTGCAACTAACAAGACTTCGGGTCACCTACATTTAAAGACTACTCTGTTTAATCCGATGGAACCTGAATGCATCATAACGTTCAAGCGAATTGCAGCGACACCCTGTGGTCGCGCGGGCGAACTTCACATCAGCCGTTCATCGCTACGTGTCCCGAGGCTAGCATCAGTGGAATCTCGCTCCCTGCTTCCCGTCCTGCTACCGGAGCTGACAGCGGCACCTCGGCGGTGAAAGCAGCGGTCGTCCCATCCAGCAGCTCGGCCCAGACATGGCGGAAATCATCCAGCCTCGGCGCATGTTCCTCTGGAGCATGGCGGTCATCTACCTAGTCGCCTTCGTGTCGCTGTATGTGCAGATACCAGGTGAGACTCTCAACTCTCTAACTGTCTGAGTGGAAGCTAGCTAACTTCACTCACTGTGTGTGTTAGCGTGTTAGCCGGGGACTTGGCGGTGTGTCTTCCTGTGGTGGAGAAGTTTCTGTGGGCTGCGGGCACAAAGGTTTACCTGCTCCCGGCTAACTTTAGGAGCTAACAGCTGCTCAAAGACACTCATTCGCCTCTTAAAATACACACAGGCTATAATAATATATTGTACTACAGTACCCATAACCCCGTTGTTTTTATCACAGCTTTATTCTAGTAGCCCAGCCCACGCCCATGTGTCTAAGGAAATATGTTTGGGGGTACTTTTTCACAGTGTCAGCAGATATTTCCACTGCATATTTCCACAGTGCATTTTCAATTTATTTAAAGCTATTCCAAAAATGCATTTTCAACACTTTATACTGATTTTTTAAACTTGGAATCTGCAGAATATATTCAATACAATGCAAATGCAGACACTAGATGCCATCAAACTATAAAGCATACTTCCCAAGTATTTTACACGCCCTTTGAAATTAATTATACTTAAATATTTATGTTTGTCTGATGATCCTGATGATAGACTATATCAGGGTTGCTCATTTTGCTTTCCCCTGGGACACTTTAATAAACAAACACGAACAATATTTAGCAGATAAAATGAATAAATGATGCAAAAATGAGGCCAGGTGTACACAGGGCATTTCAGGCATTTGAGGATATTCAGGGCTGAGCCCAAACCTCTGTCTAGATTCTAGAGGGCCAGGGAATCCTCCCCAGGCACTTCTAAAAAAAAAAAAAAATACATGTCTAAACAAGCTCTATTTTGGTGCTTTTTTTAAGAACATTGGCACCTTACTTACTTACTGGGTCAGTGGGCCATCCAACATCCTGTTGAGGGCCAGATTTGTCTCCCAGGTTGTGAGTTGAGTATCACTGACTGTACTATAGTACTGATAGGTCCACTGACATAAAGGCAGAATAAGAAAATGAGTAGATAGAATAAGTGTTTTTCATTCTATGAAGCTGCCTTTCTAAATTTCTAGCTGGCTGAGGATCCTGACGATAATCTGTATCAGGGATACTCACCTTGCTTTGCTTGGGAGGGCACATTTGCAAAGCACTTGGAGACCAGGGCCCTTTGTTAAGAAATGGGTGTACACAACATACTGATACAGTCAATTAAAAATAAATGTATAACTTTTTGTGTAGGCCCATAAATAAATAATAAAAAATAATAAATAAATAAATCGCAGCACATTATTTGAGAACCACTGGTCTAGAGGCCTGGGGGACCCTCCCCTGGCACTTTAAAAAAAAACATATACAGTACAGGCCAAAAGTTTGGACACACCTTCTCATTCAATGCATTTTCTTTATTTTCATGACTATTTACATTGTAGATTCTCACTGAAGGCATCAAAACTATGAATGAACACATGTGGAGTTATGTACTTAACAAAAAAAGGTGAAATAACTGAAAACATGTTTTATATTCTAGTTTCTTCAAAATAGCCACCCTTTGCTCTGATTACTGCTTTGCACACTCTTGGCATTCTCTCCATGAGCTTCAAGAGGTAGTCACCTGAAATGGTTTCCACTTCACAGGTGTGCCTTATCAGGGTTAATTAGTGGAATTTCTTGCTTTATCAATGGGGTTGGGACCATCAGTTGTGTTGTGCAGAAGTCAGGTTAATACACAGCCGACAGCCCTATTGGACAACTGTTAAAATTCATATTATGGCAAGAACCAATCAGCTAACTAAAGAAAAACGAGTGGCCATCATTACTTTAAGAAATGAAGGTCAGTCAGTCCGGAAAATTCTCCTCTGACCTCTAGCATCAACAAGGCATTTTCACCCAGAGAACTGCTGCTCACTGGGTACTTTCTCTTTTTCAGACCATCCTCTGTAAACCCTAGACATGGTTGTGTGTGAAAATCCCAGTAGATCAGCAGTTTCTGAAATACTCAGACCAGCCTGTGTGGCACCAAAAACCATGTCACTTTCAAAGTCACTTAAATCACCTTTCTTCCCCATTCTGACGGCCAGTTTGAACTTCAGCAGGTTGTCATGACCATGTCTACATTCCTAAATGCAGATGCTTCCATACAGTGCACAAGAAATCACTAGTAGTCACAAATAAAGTAACTCAAATGCTGTTTATGTTAATTTACATGATCACTTCCCGTGTTAATGTCTTTTTCCAGGTCTCTATGGTAACAACGGGCTGTTGCCTGCCCGTTGGCAGCTGCGATACAGCGGTAAGTCTCTCTGGGAGCAGCTGCTGGCGTCTCCCACCCTGCTGTGGCTGGGACCTCAGCTCAGCCTGGACACGCACACCGCCATGGAGCTGCTGTGTCTTGTAGGTGCTGTGCTGAGCCTCGCCGCCACGCTGGTGGAGGCTTTCAGAGACAGTGTGGTGTTTTTCTGCCTGTGGGCTTTGTACCTGTCCATGTACCATGTGAGTTTAAAGCATCAACCAGCAGTTTTCTTACACAGGTTGCTGTAGATGCTGTCACGGTGTCCCTTCTCTCACTGGCTGTGTTTGTTTGTCATTTTAGGTGGGCCAAGTTTTTCTCTACTTCCAGTGGTGAGTGATGATTTGTGTGTCTTTATATTTATTTTTCTGTAATTAACACAGTAGTGTTATTAATAACAGCTGGTTAAAGGATTCCAAGATAGCTTTGGCAGTTTGCAGACAGATCTATGTCATCCTCAGTCCGCTGTTTGTGACATCGTAGTGATGTCTGTTTCTGCTGCTGTGCAACAACACTGTAAACATCAATACTAGAATGACAGCCCTGGTTCTCTTATCCTCTCTGTCTCGTCACTCTTTCCGTTCATTTCGCGTTCCTCTTTCCACTCATCACTGTCCAGGGACAACTTGCTTCTGGAGACGGGGTTTCTCTGTATCCTCGTCGCTCCGCTGACATTGATCAGAGGGTCACGGGGGGTCAGAGAGCACGATCGCGTGACCTTCTGGCTGATCCGCTGGCTGCTCTTCAGGCTCATGTTTGCCTCTGGTGTTGTGAAACTCACGTCCCGTTGTCCCACATGGTGGGGCCTTACAGGTGTGTGAGAGAGAGTCTGGAGGGTGGAGAGTGTTTTTGGGTCCTTTTTAAAGTGTATTATAGCGTGTAAGTGTTAAAGGTACATCCCTCACTCACTTTAACATCAGCACATTCAAATGTTAACAGTTTTGTATTTCCTTAAATTTCCTTTTCACTGTCTGTTGCACAGCTCTGACGTATCACTATGAGACTCAGTGTATCCCCACTCCACTGGCCTGGTTTGCCCACCAGTTGCCGGTGTGGTGGCAGAAGATGAGTGTGATGGGGACCTTCGTCATTGAGATCGCTGTACCCTTGCTTTTCTTCAGCCCACTGCGCAGACTCCGGCTTGGGTCTTTTTACCTGCAGGTTGGTAGAAAGTAGGGCTGTACCTGACTCAGAATTAGAGTCAGGTACAGCTTTAGATCAGATTCTGCCATTTAATAACAGTTTT